CCCGTCAACACCGACGGAGAGCACCGATACCGCGGCTCGCTCTACCGCTCTCGCTCGCACGCCGTGACGTCACCCGATTCCCGGAATCCCTTTTCGTTTAGCTGAAGCACTCAATTTGTAGCTGACAGTACGTAGATTAATCCACTGTTATTGATAATAACAATAAACGACCAGAACACTGTTAAAATCGCATTTAATTGCGGAATATATATATATATTCATACGTATCGCGAGATAGAGTGTCAACCGTTGCAAACAATTGAGATTTTAACAATGTTCTTGCGATTACTGGTTTGCAGCCGTTAGAGAATAGAAATCTACGTTCTTTAAACGGTGTATCCAATGCAAAACAAGGAAGAAATATGCCCGTTTAGCGGTGTAAATGCGTTCGAAATCTTTTGCAATTAGGGTTGCCGCCTCATAAGGGGCTACGGTAATACAGACGTAACTAATTTGACTAATTCAGGGGTTCTGCACTATTGGGTCCATGAATTAAGTCCTGAGGGACAATTTGAGACTAATGACGTTCATTTTAAGTGCTGAATTACTGAGATATTTGCATTTTTCTATCACTAGAAATTTTCACTCACCTGTCGGTATGATTTGGCTAGCAGTTTGAGCGAATTGCCACGGGTGACGCCACCGGTCGAAAAAATAGTGGTATTCCGCAATTAAATGCGATTTTGACAGTGTTCTGGTCGTTTATTATTATTTTTAATGGCAGCGGATTAATCTACGTTTTTTCAGCTACAATTCGAGTGCTTTATCTAGACGAAAGCTATCCGTGTAACGGTGTAACAGCTGTTTAAATTGAACTAAACGGGGTACGCATGACGAGATACAGTGTCAACCGTTGCAAATAAATTGTGATTTTAACAATGTTCTTGTAATTACTGGTTCCCAGCCGTTAGAGAGTATTATTCTACGTTCTTTAAACTTCGAATTTAATGTGTGACGAAGAAAAATGATGCCCGTTCTCACAAGTACTGGTTTCTAACTTCGTTTATGAAAATACAAATTCCAAAATATTCTCGCGCCACACGTCCAGGGCAGTTCTGTCCTGAACTTAAGCACAAAACGTAATTAAAATCATTTAAATAAAATAATTAATATTTCATTATTTCTCATAAATACTAAGACGGTTGTTGTTGTTTAATAATTTATGATAAAATAAGCCACAGATTAATACCAATAAACGCCACACGGTGTGCAAGGCGAGGATAGTCTGTCTACGCTATAGTCTACGCGAGACAAGACCTCTAGACCTCTATAAAACTCCGAAGATTTAGTTTATGGTGGTCCATGGATAGCCCCCAGTTTGATGACTTTGGTGTCAAAAAAGTCCAATGCTCTATTAACCTTAACGTAATTACTACATTTTCAATGTATTCATGATACTGTAACAACAACTTAATCAATTATCTTGTTCCCTTTCTTCTTAAATCTGTGTACATAATTTTTTATTTATCAAGCATTGACATAAAGTATTCACGTGTTGAATAAACTATGTGGAATTCAATGTTTAACGAACTCGATGAACCTCGCGTTAGAAGTTACGCTGAAATATTAGAACAGAAGCAAGACAATGAAGGCCACCGGACCGAAACATCGTTCGAACAGGTATATTCTTCGTGTTACTAAAAATGATTAGTCCGTAAATGTATGGTATTGTATATTTATCGCTACTATAATAGTATATTTACTGCAATTTCATGTATAGGAACATGTAGAATCTCAGGTGCTTAAATTATTCAAATTAAGTCATGAACCCTTTTTAATGCGACAAAAACATATAAAAATGTTAACAACGCTTATGACTCACCTTGACAAAACTTATGAGGTAAAGACTGTTAATTTGCTGTCATTTTATTGAATTCATATTATATTTTTTTTTTCGTGTATTATGTCATATACATACATGTATTTTGCTGTTTAGTCTTTGGATTGCAGCAGACCATGGTTGTGTTACTGGATATTACATTGTCTTCAAATCTTAGGACATCATTTGAATGATGATGAGTATTCCAAAATTGCTGGCTTCTTGGCCAAATGTCAATCACCTGAAGGGGGATTTGGAGGAGGCCCGGGGCAATATCCTCATTTGGCCTCAACTTATGCAGCAGTAAATGCATTATGTATCATTGGTACTCATCAAGCGTATCAAGTAATCGATAGGTACATGACAACTAAATTGTAAAAGGGCATCAAATTATCAATGTTGAAATATAGTGCATATCTTTCAAAAGAGTGATATACATATCAATTGTAGGACAGCTCTCAAAAGCTTCTTGACATCCTTACACAACGAGGATGGTTCTTTTAATTTGCATGCTGATGGAGAATCAGACTTAAGGGGTATATACTGTGCACTTGCTGTAGCAAAATTGACAAATGTATATACTCCTGAAATGTTCAAAGAAACAGAGGATTGGATAGCAAACTGTCAGACATGGGAAGGTGGTTTTGGAGGTTGTCCTGGTATGGAAGCACATGGTGGATATACATATTGTGGATTAGCAGCACTTGTGCTTCTCGGAAAAACTGACTTCTGCCACTTAAAATCGTTATTGGTACATAGAAAGTTCTGAATATTATAATAAATGTTGAAACGTGTGTTATTATCTTTTAATGTTACTTGTTGTTAGGCATGGATAGTAAACAAACAAATGCATCTGGAAGGTGGATTTCAAGGACGATCAAATAAAATAGTAGATGGTTGTTATTCATTTTGGCAAGGTGGAACTTTTCCATTAATTCATGCAATTCTAACAAAACAGGGGAAAGTGTTCAATTCTAATTACTGGTTGTTCAATCAGGAGGCTTTACAAGAATATCTATTAATTTGCTGTCAACATCCTCATGGTGGTCTTCGGGATAAGCCTGAAAGGTATAAAATCACCTACCATTATAATTTACTGTATAAGAACACTTTTGCAAGTTGTTTTGTATTTGTTTCAGAAATCCAGACATGTATCATACGTGTTATGCTCTTAGCGGATTGTCAATTGCACAAAATTCTCCAAAACCATTGATTATTGGATCTCAAAACACAAACTTAGTGAACATAACTCATCCTGTATATAATCTAGTACTTTCTTGTGCAGTTAATGCATTGAAATACTTCAATAGATTAGAGATACCTGCCTGAACATACATTTAATATTTCAAATGCATTAATAGAATAACAACTATTTCTATTCTATTTTGTGAGAAAGTTCAAAGAGGCAAATTCTATTTTGCTTCGTATTGAAATTGACCAACTAAGTGTAAATATAATGTTACTTATTAATAAAGTTAAGAAGGTTTAAAACAATACAAAAGAGGATTTTTTTCGTAATCGTCTCTGTGTTAACAATCGTGATGGAGTGTACAAAAAGTTAACCTAACATATTTTCTCCGACCATTTGAAATGTAAGAAAGAACTGCGTAATGTAATTGCAATTATAAATAGAAAAAACAAATAATTAATAAAAATACTTACTTCTAATTAAACAATATTCCTCATTCTTTTTCTAGAACACAAAATGAACCCATTTTTATTCGTCAGTATCATTACACGATTACAAGTATTTATTTGTTTTGATAGAATATATTTTATAAAATTTCTAACTTATATAGAAACTCTCATCGAGACGCAGAAACTTTAAAAATATTATAGTCAATATAAACGTTGTACTGAAAACTTGGTTTACAGATACTCCGGCAAACATATCATATGTGTAAGCTACAGAACGCGAATACCTACCTAAAACGAATTTTGTGAGAATAAGAAATTTGTTCAAAATCCATGTATATAGAAAAAAAATACATCAAGAATAATTTTGATAGCTACTTCGAATCCGAAAGAAGAGGTTATGGCAAAATACTTGATACGAGTAATTATAATGGGCTCGCAGATCGTGGGCAAAGCGTTTGCCAGAGCATTGCGACAAGAAATTGCGGCAAGTCAAGAAGCCGCCCGCAGAGCAGGCGGTGGAACAAGAGGTGATCAACATGTAGCAGCCAATTCTAGAACTGGAATTTCTTTGGATGAATCTCTACGTATCTTGAATGTCGACCGATTGGATCAAACGGAAGCTATAGAACGTAACTACAAGTATCTTATGGATGTTAATGACAGATCTAGAGGTGGTTCTTTTTACATTCAATCTAAAGTAGTACGTGCCAAAGAACGTATAGATGAAGAGCTAAGAAATCAGAATGTCCCTCCAAAAACAAATTCTATGAAGGAACATGCTGCTAAACAACCTTAATTGCTGTTATTATAGTCTAAATTTAATTATTGCAATCGTGAAGTCTGTATATACATCTTAATGCCCATATTTTAATTATAAATAGATAGTACAAAATATGTAATTAAACAAGACCATGCTGACTGTATTTTGTTATCGCTTAAAATATTAAAATGAAAATAACGCCTCACTTTAATAGAACTATCCGCAAGCCTTTGTCTATAGACTTTATTCTTCATATCTCAACTGTGATCAATGTTCCGTACTTTTTGAGAAAGAAAGAAGGTAGAAAATAAAAAAGTAAACACTAGAACTTATGTGTGCACGTATCTGTGTATATATGTATAAATAATATGTACATATATATGTTCCTAAGGGACATATTAGTTCGTATGACAGTCTTTTGATACAAGTACTCGCTCTTATACGAGTCCTTTTTTGGTATATAATGCTTAAAATTTAGTGCCTTAAACCAGCTACCTTGGCATCTTCTGGTTCAATTCTATTCTGTGACTGACGAATGATTAATCTCTCCTGATTGTGATGAATAGACCACAGTTTTGGCAAGTACTTTGGTTTCATCGTTACTAAGAAATGCTCTCTCCACATTTGCTCCAATTCTATCAGTCCACCTTCTCTTTTTTCAAAGTATTGAACCACCTACAAATAAGAATATGTAACATAATTTTCAATTTCTTATTAAGAAAAGTTAGTTCGTAAAGTTTTCTATTCTGTACCTTCAAACCATGAGGTTGGCATTTAGATTGGTCATAGTTAGGCATTGAAACCATAGCATGCTTTAATTCTTGATACACCAGATCGAGGAGAGCTGGTGTAACTTGCTGCTGACCCGTACATTCCAGGATATAATGTTCTAATTCTATACGTCGTGAGTCGGGCAAAGTTCTTTCTTCTCTTAATGCCTTAACTGCGGAATGTAGTTTCCTCCAATTATTTACATATTTATTGCGTACGTGTGTCAACGGACCGGCCAAAGGCGCATCACACATGTCTGCTAGCTTTCTTCTGAGCTGCAGATCATAGCAGTTACTTATCTCATGACATACTGGACATAATAATAGTATGTCGTGCGACTGATGCGCTTTCATCACCACTGAAAATTATTTATCGCTTGTTAATATTTTAAATACCTTGTAATATCGACTTGTATACCCGTTAAATAACTCACGTGGAAAGTATTTACGATACTCCCTAGGTACGACATTTTTTCGAATAAATTTCTCCAAAGTTCCACAGACTACGCATTGATTAACTTTAACCTGTGTATAGTATTGCCCAACCTCTCCTAGAGCACGTCCAGAAGGTTCAAATTTCAGCCTCACGGTAAACGGTTCCTGTTCAATTACTTCTCCTAATGCTTTGGTAACATACCATTCTGCTTTCTTACGATCACACGTACACAATATGTCTCCATCAGGTGCTTGTAAATAACAGTTGTGATAAAGTGGTTTATTTCTTGCAGGTATACTGCTTGCATGTGCAACAATGTTGTTTGTTTTCAAATCTCGTAAAAACTTGTCAGAATGACTGGTTTTAGTATTTTTATGATTACCAGCTGTGTGTATCTGTTGAGCCTTGAACCTTAAAGAAATAATTTGCATATTTAGCTATTTATATTTTAGTACATTTATCACTTCTTTAATCTAGGGAGCATCTTGTTACCTCGTATCGATTATACCATTAGGCAAACAATAAAATTGCATATTTACGTTTTTATTACATATACAGTTTATATAATTTGTAAAGTTTTCCCATAAAGAGTACTTTTCTTTTATTTTTTGTACGATCTGTAAAATGTAATGCAACTTCATTATTGTATACATTTTCTCCATGAAAGTATTAAAAACATTTATAACGTTATTATATTTGTTACCTGGTCATAAATAAGAACAGACGCAATTGCATCGCAAGCAGCATATGCTACTTGTTCGTCTGTAAGAGTGCCAGCATTCCAATTGCCACACCTTACTTCTATTAATTTATCGATTTCCAAGCCTAAATATTGCAAACACATTGCAGCCAAACTCTTTGAGCTTGGTAAACTTGCACGTGTTGCCAATGATCTTAAATCAACTGTACCACAAACTCTGCACCCATAATCTGCTACTATTTTTTGTCCATCTTCATACGAAGCAACTCCAACTTTAAGGATATGTTTACTAGCCAGCAATTCCTGAATAATATTTCTGGTTTTATATATTTCTAATATTACATTCCATGTTCTATAAAGTTACCATTGAAAGCATCATACTTTTAATTTATGAGGAACATATCCAATTTTGCCAATGCGAAATAGACCACATACTCCATTAAATGTAGCAAGTTGAAGTAAAGATACAGGCCCTTCGTTAACCCATTCACAATCAAAACCTAATACATCATTAGTTAAGTTACTGAAACATAATACATATTTACTTAACACCATGATAGAATTAGAGAGTATTTGTGAAATTATTTGAATAAATATGTGATCGAATGAAATATAAAATGAAAAATTATTTTATTTGAAATCCAATTAACGAAATAATCTAAAGAATATCATTTGCCTGCTCAAATAAACTAACACATGATTGTTTCAAGTAACATGTAGCCAGAGAAGATAATATATTATCTTAACGATTATTTTTCAAATAGTTTATTTGGACAATGCCCAAGCCTGCCTTGAACTTTGCAAAAAATTGTGAGACAAAATTTAACTATATTTGAATGTATATAACTTTTGTAAATCGGAGTTTCTTTATCCGTATTTTTCTTCTGAAATATGGATATCTTTTGTTTTTTAAATAATATAAATGTACAGTACACTGTTATCTTATGTAGTACTTGTAATATTATTTCTAATGTAAAAAAGTTTTTATCAAGAATTTGTACAAATGTTAATGTAAGAAATAATTAACCAAGTAATAAAAAATGTAAACACACCTATTATTCCAATGTACACAGAGGCAACAACACAGTTCAGAAAAAGTGTAAATACAGCATTGTAATGTACTTGACATCTATGACCAAAATAAGATACAGGCAACCATGCAACTTACCAGCGAATACGCTGAACGGCGTAATCACATTTTTCTGGAGTATCTGCCAAAATTATCTTGTCTAACGCAATGTTAACCTTATTTTTCTTGGTATCCCTCTGCTTGTAGCTTTTATTCTTAATACTTTGACAAAGATGTATAACACTTTCCAGTACATTTTTGCGGTACTTAGAGGCCAACAATACAAGACCCACGGTTACACATACGAGAAACATATTGTTCTTTGCAGGATGCATTAATTGCAAAGATAAATTTGTATTTTCAAGAAAGTTAATATTAAAAATTCTATGTACAATTTGAATTAGTTGTTCTATGTATATTCTTATGTGTGTGTATATATACATATATATTAATATTTTTCTATCAGGAGAAATATTTACATTAGCAATTAAATATATTACATAAATAAGTTAAATAATTATCGTTACGTTGAAATATGTCAATTAGAAATTGATCGATCGTAAACAATTAGCCGACAGTTGAAAAGTAATAATGGCAAAAAATTCCACGTAAGGTACGCCTCAATAATTAAACTATGAAAGTTGTTTGAATAATCGCGCGAAAAGTACATCACGACCTTAATTAGAAGGAATGATTTTTAACCGAACGAGGTTCAAGGTAATCCGCAGCTATTTGAAGAAACGGCCGACGTACGCGGCTACGGATGTCACGCACGACTGCGATATGTTTACTACGCGCGATTACGGCAATTACGGCGATTACCATAACGTTATCTTTCCCATTATTTTCCTTCTTGTATCCTCAGTTCGATACTATGTTCTTCGCGCTGATTGGCTGAATCTTCTTCGTGTAAAATTTTTATGAATAATATCACAAATTATATTTTTATCATTTTGCAAACGATTACGAATCATGTATTTAAAGAAGCAAGGAAACGGAGCCTCCACATTATAGATTCTGCAATATTCAATTTTTCGATAAAACTTATTATGTGTATACGATATTTAGTGGAACATATTTTGAATACATTAAATAATAATTAAAAACAGATAAAATAAACGTACAGCTGGACGTGTAGTTCTCACGTCTCACGTAAATGAAGAAAACACAACATACGCAAAAGCATAATATATAAAACGGTATAGTAAAAATTAAGTATGGCGTTAATCCTATCAGCTGATATCGTCTGCTGGAATGACGAGTCGTAGTTCAACTGCTTGGTTAAAGAGTGCCTCTAACTGTTATAAAAACATTTTCTTACTTAATCGTTATTCCGATGAATTAATAGGTTCGTGAAAACCGATAAAATTTTAATGACGCAATGACTATATCAAAGTTTGTAATGGTGATAATGCTTGTAAAACCACAAGAACTCGATCGCGTACATCATTGACAGGTGGTACAGGAATGTGGGAAAACAGATAGGATTATCCGCGAAAACGATCTGTTACACGATCGGTTAAGTGAAAGAATCTGCGGATCAACAAGCAGATTCGGTTGTGATGAGCGACTCCGAACAGCGGCAACTGCACGTGCCTTATAGAGAGTATCATAGCCAGAATAACACTAACACTTCTGCCCTGGTGGAAACAGATGCACTGGTAGATCTATCAACCACATCTAATAATTGTTTGCCAGTGAACAGCAACGAGAGCTCGGAATTAATACCGGACGTTGAGTTTGTTCCAAATCTGAGCAACGAACAACCCATAACCATTGATTCCCCTGGAATTGACCGGGAGAGCCAGCCTCTCCTTGGTCGGTTGGAGCTTGATGTTACATTTAATCGTTTTCCTGGTATGTAGTTGCGTGTAAACACATTGGATTCGTCTAACGCTAATCTAACAAATGATACAAGCATCAATTATTTCATGGTATTTTGTAGATGATCCACAATTCTCTGAATTAGTATGGCAGGCTGAATGTGCAATAGATAATGGAATTTTTCCCGAAAGGATATACCAAGGATCAAGTGGAAGTTACTTTGTAAAAAATCCTACAGGGGTAAGGTATAATGTTTCTGTTCAACTTACTCAATAATAAACATTAAAGAATTATTAGAATCATTGCGAGAAAATAGATACCGGTATTTGTTATACAACAATGGCAAATAGTTTCATTGATTTTCAGAAAGTAATTGGTGTATTCAAGCCAAAAGATGAAGAACCCTATGGAAGATTGAATCCAAAGTGGACAAAATGGATGCACAAGCTTTGTTGTCCTTGTTGTTTTGGGAGAAGTTGTTTAATTCCCAATCAAGGATATTTGAGCGAGGCTGGTGCAAGTTTAGTTGATCGTAAATTAGGTCTCGGCATAGTTCCAAATACAAGAGTAGTGAAACTCGTCAGTAGAACATTCAACTACCCACGCTTAGACCGACAGAAAGCCCGGATGAAGCAAGCGATTATGGATCAATTCCCTACAGTTGGCTCGCATTTCAATCGGATTGGTTTACCACCAAAAGTTGGTTCTTTCCAAATTTTCGTGGATGGCTACAAAGATGCCGATTATTGGTTGAGACGATGGGAACACGAACCCTTATCACCGCGTCTCAGTAGGGAATTTCAACTGCAATTTGAACGCTTAGTTATTTTGGACTACATAATTAGAAATACAGACAGAGGTATTTAACGATTTACGAAGTTTCTTCGCAATCTATTCAGAGTTTATGAACGCGTTACTATTTTTTCAAAGGTAACGACAATTGGTTAATCAAGTATGATAATACTATGGGAAAAAACGGATCGGACCAGGGCGAGGTTCAAATTGCCGCAATAGATAATGGTTTAGCCTTCCCTTTCAAACATCCTGACTCGTGGCGTGCCTATCCTTATCACTGGGCATGGTTGAGTCAAGCGAAGCAACCGTTTAGCGAAGTTACGCGGGAGCTTGTATTACCGCAACTTTCGGATCAGAATTTTGTGCAAGATCTTTGCGACGATTTGTATCAATTGTTCAAAGTAAGTCCCGCAAAATGGCAATTGTTCAAAGTAAGTCCCGCGGAATGGCAATTGTCGTATCGACGACAGATCAAAGATAACGCGACGTTCTTCTTGTAGCAAGACAAAGGTTTTGATCGGCATCATTTTGACAAACAAATGAGCGTGATGCGCGGCCAGATCTTAAATTTACAACAAGCTTTAAAGGATGCGAAAAGCCCAGTGCAATTGGTTCAAATGCCTGCTGTGATCGTTGAAAAGTATTTATTCATCCGTATACGTATAGATAATATTTCTTACCATTAACATAATAGACGATTAAATGTAAACACGCGATCTTACTGGTGTTTTTCAGGGCCAAAGGAAACGGAGCACCAAGATTATTCTCATTTTCCGACACGTTTACACAGCGCTTCCAGAACAAAAGTCCTTTCTTCTCTTGGTGTTGAACAGAACCAACGTTTCTGAAATGCTTGAAACGACATCAATCCTGTCTGTCGACTGAAAAAAACCTATTCAGTATATCGCGAACATCGTCTTATTATTTGTTCTGTCTCTCTATTCAGTCTCTTTTACTTTTATTCCGCATTACTACCTCTGTTTGAACATCAGGTTCTAATCTACCACTCGTAGATTTTATCGATAACTACGTTTAACTTATCTTGTATCTAAAATATTTTCTTTTAATTCGAATATAAACATCAGTCATAATACGATTATATATTGTATACAGTAAATATATGTAATGTTAAAGCAATACTTTTCGATATGCTTCGCATGGGAGAAACAGGTATGAAAAAAAGCGACGAACAATTATGGAAAACGTCTTGTGTCTACGTATAACGGTAATCATCCCCTTAGCGAAATACGAATACTAATTACATATTCATATTGTATGTACGTTTTCTACGTCTTCCGTATTATCTAGCACTCGTGTCGATTCTCACGTATGGACCCGACACGTTGATCTACACATTTTCGGTAGGTGCTGTCGAGAAGAAACCATCGACGAATCTTGAAAATGATCTGTGATTTAATGGGTAAATGTGATACCCTTATTGTTTAAAAACAAACACATTCTACGCAATCACATTATATTTTTAATCGACAATTATAAGGAAATAAATTTACTATTAGTGGCGAACCGAGAAATTTCAATTGCAATTCTTATCGGAGTACAAATTCTAATTACAAAGCTAAATAAGTAGACATACAATGTTCGAATACGTAATCGATAGTCGATGTTCGATCACGTGGCAGGATTCACATTGCTTTTTTGTTTGAATGTCGTTAATTTAAACCCAACTTCGACGATATAATCCTGATAAATTTTCTGCCTCATTAAAATCACAAAATGTAACGTAGAAGTTGTGCCGTTTGCAGGTTGCAATCTGACAGTTTTATATATCATTATACTTTATACAGCGAAACCTTTTCAATCGCGATTTGACGACAAACAGACGACGCGACGCATTTTTCTCGTGTATATTTGAGTAATTGCATTGTATTAGATATAAGAATAACAACATGGAAATGGTGGAGATTAATACAAAGAAGAAAGAACCACAATTACCGGTTCGTCAATCGCTGGACTATCCGTGTAACGTCAGAGTAAGACGATTCGTTCGTTCCTGATGTATACTTATATCTCTCTTGATTCAAAGAGTTTCCGCCAATAATTCGACTGACGGTTCTTCATTTTGACGAGTGTAGTGCACGAAGAGATACGTGCAACCGTCGCGGGTTAAATCGTTCGCTCCAGAACGGCTGTACTGTCCGCCTTCGAAGCTGCTGGAAACCAACACTACCTATCATTTGTCCTATTTGAATGTGGATTATGGGGAAATGCGTCGTAGCCGATCCCAACCCATTCGACCAGTACCTGTTCTCGCCACGTTCGATGGGAAATTTTCCAACGAAACGACCAACAAGTTCAGTTACAAGCCCATCGGTCATGTACCTAAAGCGAAACCGATTGTACCCAGACAAAGGTATTGTTTTTCTGTTCGTCGATAAATACTGCACGTACGATCAATTCACTACTATCTTTCGTTTTTTCCTCGGTGTTAGGCCAATGATGACAGGTCGGATGGAATGCATGACCACCGTTCGCAACGATTATGCTCGTAAACACGTCGAAAGACCAGAGATCGTAGTACCATGCGGGCATATTCGTTTGAGTACCGGTAAATTGGACGCCAGTACCACCGCTAAACTTTCTTATGCGAATCCTGGCCACACGGAGCCCACCATCAACTTCAAGCCGATAAGAGCCTATTGTCCACCCAACGAACCGGTGTGCCATCAGACTACTCAAAAGTTGAGCTATCAGCCTGTTCAAGTTCCTGAAAAAGAATCGTGTCCCTGGCAGATGAAGCCGACATACAGGTAGACCATGCACGTACATTATATGTATGTATAGTGCCACTTCGAGGTATAGTGATTTTAGGTGTGATCCTGTCACAAGGAGTGTGTAAACTCTTAAGTTTTCAAAAGATTAATTGAAAACTAAAAAAAAAAAAAACTGTGTACGCTAGGAATCAAACCCAGGCCGTTGGAACGTTTATCTAGTAGTCTATCCTCACTCCACATTGGTACTTGCTACCTGTTTCCACTAAACGGTATTTCAACGCAGAACTAAAACTTCAATTATGAAAATCTCAAAAGTTTATGAATATCTAACCCTACAATGGGGTATTTTCGTAAACAGAATGACGGTGTCTACCAGTCTGCAAAGTCTGAACTAAATCGTAGTTCCGAATGACGTACACACTACTTGTCAGTGGGTTTGCTATGTGATACCCTTTTTAGGATACCAGCCATTAAATGTGTCATTTGCTACTTTTCAAAAAAGTTGGCCGTCCCTGGACTTGCCACTGAAACCCTTAAAGGCGTAAAAGATCCGAACCCCTACTGTTTCTACGAAGTCACTATAGCTCGGGGAGAGGTGTCTATGTTTCCCGTATTTCGTCTCGTTCTTTTCAAAGACACTCCGCGCATATCGTGCTAACGAGAGACCACGTTTAAAGAGCCCCAGACGTAGCGATGTGCGGCAAAACAACGTATTCCGTAAGTTATTTGCAAAACGATGAACCGTGCACGGAGAAACCGATCAGACCAGTCGGGACTAACATATTTCCCCATGGAGGTGACTTTGCTGGAAGAACGATTTACAAAGAGAGCTACCTCGAATCGGACAGCATCGATCGCGTAGAGCCAATCATTCCTTCGAACAGTATCTCGAAAGCGGATGGCAAGATATCAGGAGACACGACAAACAAAGTATGTGCAATCGATGGAAGAAATATAGGCTCGGTCAATTCACGCAACTCGCAATAAGCCATGAATGAATCGATTTATTATTTTTTTTATTAATTTTAGAACGCCCGAGCCTCGAAATGGGGGGCTCCTCAAACCCATACTTCTTTTAACATATCTCTCCTAAGAGTATATTACAGATAGCACGTTTTCCTTAAAATTATTGTTTATTTATATGTATTTGTAAAATAGAATGGTAGCGTAAAATAGTATACTAACATGGAACTAGTCTGAATCTGATTCTTCTATTTCAGTTTGTTATTCTTTGGAGACAAGAAAGACGTAATATAGACATAATAATTTTCTATATAATAATATAGTAACGAGGAGTTTTGAATATCAAATTTAAACGTACATTCGACAATAAATAATTCTTTGAGAATTTTTTGCAGGCGGGAAATAGTTATAATTTCACGCTATTCGACTAGTAGGTTCAAGGAGCCCATCTCTGGGCGTTTTAGGGTTAATAGTAGATTGAATCAACACGTTTCATCTATTTCATCCGTCGTTAACTATCGCAGTTTTCGAATGTTTTCCATCGATAATTCATCATTGTCCTTTTAATCCACTGAATCCCCAATTGCAGTTGAGCTACCAACCGGTCCAAACGGAGAAACGAGATCCGATACTACCCCGATGCAGAAACATGATGGGCGACGGTCCGATGCAATCAGAGACTACCAATCGTTCCGACTTTGTACCGAAAGCGTATATACGACCCGGCCTCATTGTTCCCTGCAGCAACCTTCGAAATGCCGATAAACCGATGGACGATACAACTACCACGAGATTATCATACGTGATACCAGGGCCGATACAATGCGTTCAAAGCTTCAAGCCTGTCGTTCAATACACCAAGTACATAAGAAAAGCTTGTAAATCTTCTCTCGGGAGTAGTGATGGGTAATAAAGTCAGATTCAAGGCGACTTCAAGCCAGGACGGAGGGAACCGAACCGATCGAGTCAGATTAGACGCCAGACCCCGACGAAATTTGGATTTTGCGGCTTGAATCTAACTTGGTTACCCATCACTACTCTGTCGACGTATTGTAGACGTACTTTCGTCCGCCTTGGTCGTTTTCTGTTCTTTAATACTAGAACTACCGACAATAAACGCATATTTGCTTCGATCGGTGGATAAACGTGAAAAACTTTTGAAAATTTAGAAATTGACTTTAGTCATAAAAGGTGCAAAAGATATGAGAAAATGTATCGTCATAACATTTTAATCGTCGTTGTAAAAGTGTATTGACAAGTAATTTTCACTTGCTTGGTAATTCTAGTGTTCCTTCTACGAATTTGTTATTCGAAAGTAACGTAATACGTGTTTTACACACACAGATCGGCGCATAAAATTGATGGCGAGAGCGTGAGCAAATTATCGTATCAGGCGTGGACACCGCCTCCGAAGGAACACATACCGTGGGCGGATAAGGGAGCGTATCAACCACCGACAGATCCCATGTGCGCCGATACTATTTACCAAGCTAGTTTTCCCGCGCCCGGACACTACGAAGAAATATGCGAGGATCGAGGGGATTGCGATTGCTTGGATCGTAAAAACCCCCCCTGCCCGACCACGTAAATCGCGCCGCGCAAGAATCTGAATTACCAAATCATTTTCAAAAACGAAAGCAGCTGGTCTCTCTATCGCAAGTATCAGTGAAATCTAAAAACACGACACGACGACACAACAAAATCCCAAAGTCCAATTCAAAGATATTTTATTACGATACCTTAAGATATGAACGTGTGTCTTACTTTACTCTTATATTATAGTAATTGCTGTATACAGGACGATGAATAATAAACGTTTTATCTTTTACAAACAGTAAAATTGTTCTCGATAATAAAATAAACTCTAATCTTTGATAAAAAGATCAATAGACAATATTAACGTCCACTCTTCGGGTTTAGCTTACTACATACATACATACATACGTACATACTTACATACAGACTTTTTAATATATGTATAATATATTATATAGTGAATATAATAGGTTAACGATGCGTATAATCCTATTTACGACAAAACTTAGCGTACACCGATGTTTCACATATGTATTCGCAACAATTCATAGCTATTTTTTCATTTTTAATTGTACATGTACATAAAATAGGGGAAGGAAACGACAATTAGACTACAAGTTATTCTATGTACCTGAACCGACAATGAGAATCTCTTTTGGAAAGTTTAGCATCACAACTTTTGCTAATGATATTTTTATTTCAAGTCTATTAATGTTTTTCATTCTACCGCGATGAAAGCGTGTTTCGAGTTGAAGGGAAACGAATATGTGATTTTATCGAACAAGTTCTAGAACAACAACATTTTCAAAACGATCGATTCGATGTTTATGTATTCCTATATGAATAATTTGGAAAACAAGCAAAAACTTTATACTAAACGATATGTATCTAATTTTCCGTTAACGAATCTTAAAAAAATATAACAATTATGGATTTAAAGCCCATAAGGCACATAGTTAGGTCACACGAGTTGCACTACCTCCATCCGCAGTGTCAGACAAATCTCAGGCGTTGTATTACAAGTCTCCTACATATCCCATCGATAAATTAGAAACTTTAATCCTTGTAATTTCTTTTCACTATTTACAGATTTATAGGGAAACGATTGTTACAACTTACCAGTCGTATATATTACTATACCGATTTTACTCTACAATCTGACATCCCTAGGCCATTTCAATCGTCATCAATGTTCTCTCACTCAGTTTTCCTTTCAATCGGCTGAAACTGCTAGCGTATAAAAATATTGAATAAAACCACATCGATGTATCGTTCGACGCTCATTTCAAAAATTGCACTACGTTAAATGGTACAAGTTAACTCTATTCGTGTACCACCCACTTTTCTCTTTTGGCCTATATAACGTCAAAACTTGAACTAAAACGATTAAAAGTTTTTGTTAATACAACGTACACGGTACAGCTCCACAAAACAAAGTATATAACCCGTAAAACATGGCGTAAAGTTAAAACACGATTTGATCAACTAAATCCTATCTAGACCAAGTATCGAAGACTCCAAACGCGCGCGTCAGAGATGCTTTTGCTTCCAATCTGGAACCCCTAAATGCCTTTTTAAATTTTTAAATTATCGTCGTACAACCGATATAACAAATGTTTCAAAATGATAAATTCCTAAAATAATGTCGATAATGATATACATACGATTGCAATGAACGAACAAGTAGCTACTTACACACAAATAGCCGTTTCTGTGTTCCAATTTTCGTGTATGTGTATGTATGTGTGCGAGAGGGGGAGAGAGAGAAAGAGATATCTATATTGCACTTGGACATAGTAATCGAAGAAAACACATATGCTGTATAACGCGTTAAATGGATATACGTTAACGTTGCTAAAGACATTAGACGATTTCCCTCTTCTATCCCTCCTCTATTAAACAGCGATAAACACGGATCAGATCTGGTGGATTAGGTGGGGTTTCAGAAGTCGACGGGGATTGAAGAACAGAGGCGAGCAACCGACGCAAAAAGGGATAGGTAGAAAGGTGGCATGTACACCGACGAGCAAACTCGGCTTCCTCTGGGGGGAAAAAGCAACGTAGGGGTTAAGGTCTCCAACCGCTCGATAAATTAATTTCAAATACTGAAATAAATGTTAAACCGAATGTTAATATCACATAAAATTCAGTAACTCGGAGACCAAGTTATGGCTTTTTCTTACACCACTTTTTCCTCTAACGGAAACCGTGTTTGCTCGCGAGGGTATCGCGATTGTCCCGATTATACCTACTGCGGCTTAGTGTTGTACGATTGTATGAACTCGGAGAAGCTAAAGCCGTTAAAGTGGTCCAAGTTGAGATTTTCGTCGATCGAGGGCAGCTCGCCGTGACCCATCAGCTCCACATAGTCCATGTCCGAGTTCGCTCGCCCAACGCTTGACTGGCCAAGGCCCGGAGCGTAGCTACCACAAATCAAAACACAACCCCAATCACTGGCATAGCAATGGACAGCAGTCACGTGCTAATTCGAAATATATAAACACACGGTGCACGGTACCGGTAAATAATCTACTAGTATTATTTTCATTACATTTCCGATACTCTAATGTCTGGCTTCGTTCTTTTAGCGACTAGCCGATAACGATCATCGACGAAAGTGTCTTACTTCGATTTTGCCGAAACGTGTGACCGATTTAGCCGGATAGCCGGTACAACACGGCAAGGGACGTATTAAACAACCACAAAGTGAATCCCCAACCTAATCACGATACCGATCGATCGGTCACCCGAGGTATTAATAAACTACAATTCTTAAACGTGGTTTCAACGCGTATATCGTAACGGGCAAGGCCTCTTTTTTTTTTTAATTTTCCGTTCCCCTCGACCGAATCGACAGTGTGTCATCTTCTCCGCAACAGGACCGTTTTTATGTAACATTTTGTACCGCCAAATTGCCAGTAGAATTCTCTATACTAACACATTGTGATTGGAGCTGCGTTTCATTTTTTTTTTTTTTTTTTTTTTTTTTTTTTTTTTTTACTTTTTCTCAGGAGTAGCATTTTCTAAGCGTTCAAGTTTCCGTTGTTGTGGTTGTACCGGCTTGCTCCAGGCCTTTGCCTTTCGTTTCTCGAAATCTCGTGTGTTCGGAAAAAGTATTTTTTTCACGTACGTATGTTCGCATCACGGTAATATTCAGCTTGCTCGAGCGTGTGTTATTCTTTTCATTCGTATAAATTTGTACATCAAAATCCGTTACACGTGTGTGTGTGTGTACACAACACATACAAGAGACACACAGTTATACATGAAAGTACTACGAGCGAAGCAAGAGCTTTTCTTACTCATGTCGCTTGCTTGCCTTTTTGGTTTTTCAGCCATGGATAAGCCGTGTTACTACAATAATAATAATGATAATAAAAAAAAAACACATACAAAATATGACAGTCTCGGTAAAAAAAAGTACCAAATATTGTTTTTCTAAAGCAACCACCGCTCTTTCATGATTCCCCATTCCTACTAAAAACTACACATTGTAAATTACAACAAAATAATTGCTCCTTATCCCCCGAAGATCCTTCATTCCTTACTTACGTTATCCGTTGGACGGATTTTCGTTGCAATTTGGTTTGCAAACGATTTCATAAAAACTTTCAAATGTTATACTCAACTAGATCATAATACACTATCGTTGTATCAGAGGCATGCATATTCTCCCATCGGACGATTCTCACCTAGAACGTGAAACTTGTTTTTCTATCTTAATTCCCATAAAACCTTCGCACAAAGGACCTCGGGGGTTTTAATAACGACATCGTTCACCGAGTTATGCGTGGCGACGATATCACTTAACATTAATAAATGTATACTTACTGATTAATCATTCGAATATCAGAACAGAATGCTGGGTGGCACAGAGACTACTTACGGTAGAATAGCGACAAAAAAAAAATGAAAAAAAAGAAAATAGTAGTACAGACTCCTCTCGATTATCGTCCCGAGCTCGGGTCTGCGTCGGGACAATAATTGTATAGGGAGAAATGCTTCAGACCCTCGTAAATTTGTTTTTTGCCGGAAGCCCGAACCTCAAGAACAAAGTGTGCGCTTAACAGGTTCCACGGCCTCCCCCACAGTGGTGGGGATAATGCCTGGACAATAATCGTGTAGAACAAAGCCAGACAATAATCGAGAGGAGTCTGTAACACTAACAATGGAAGAAAACAAAAATTAAGACTAGTTATATTATAAGTTTCGCATACGTGGCAAAGTATACACGAAAAAACAACTACTTCCATTTTACGGAAATCGTCATTAAATACCCAGAATTCTTCAGTATGTATACCGAACCGTTTTACACGACTTAATATTACTTATATTCCGTTCATTTCACGATATAATTATAGTGTAAAGATTTCAAAAGACCATGAGAAAAAGTTTACAAAATGTATTAAACTATAATATCACTGTAAATATTATCTAGACATTCGCAAAAAGGAAAACGTAAAAAAAAAAAAAAAACAATACTGACACCATCTGCACAGAGATAGTATACAAAAGACATGCAAAGCATTACGGATCGTAGGAATGTTTCGTTTCTACCTTTCATCAAATCCCCGTGTTAACGTCTCCGCGATCTTTCAACTGTAAAAATTTTCCTATTTGGGCGTCACGAATTCAAGGCCGGTGTATCGACGAACAGTACGATATTCTTAATAATTCACAAACTAAGTTTCAGAATCACCGGTAAACGATACGCGGGCCGTCTTGAGAATCGAGAATCGATTCGTTTCTAGAGTACAATGTACCAAAGCGAAAGCTGAGTCTTTGCATATCTTGTACGAAGTGTATCTATGGCAGTAACTTTTCGTAATTGCTAGTACTAGTAAATGAATGAAATACGATTTGATAGCTTAGATCCAGGGGACTGACCTGGAAGCCACCGACGGAGTATCGCGCGTCACGGACGGGTCAGGACTGTGCGCTTGGAACATGGTGGATGGCGTCGCAGGATAACTACCACCTGGACCACTCTGACCGCTACTGCCTACCCCAACTACGGACGAGTGCGACGGAGTCTGACAACCAATGCCAGGTCCACCCCAACCAGGTACGTGCGTTACTAATACAGGTTTCACGTATCCGTTCGTCGACGTAGATTGGTTTTCTACGACAAATCGTGCAACGTCCCGTTTCACAATTTTCAAGCATATCGCGGGTACAGAGCACCAACGACAAATCAAAATACCACGTACCTGTGAACGGTGTGTAGTATTTGGAAAATGCTTGATCCTTCGACAGATCTGGATATAGGTAAAGCAAATGTTGTAAATCGGACACACGATCCGCTAAGCTACGGATAGCAAAGTCTTTGCTCGTAAATGGCTGCAGCATAAACACCTCTGTTTGATCTACAATATAAGTATTTCATTAGAAATCAATGCGCGCTAATAGGGTCTGCGGCGATATAATGATTTTTACAAAGAAAAATAAACTAAAAAACCTTACCTCCTACCCATGCGATAGTAACCCCACCAAGTTCAGAGTCCGAGAAGCGCATTAGAAAAGTTCCCGATGCACAATTCGCTAGCATTTCCTCAGCTTGCTTCTTTCTAACGAATCCCAATATGTACCCGTCAATCCACGGGCCTCTCAGATGCTCCCTTGTCAGTTTCATCACGGCGTAAAACCACTCCCAAAATGTGAAATTTCTTTCGGGCAATGGTTCTTTGCAAAACTGTGCCCAGCTCAGAAGCAAACCAGAATAATCCTGACCAGCCGCGTTACCACCCCGAAATGCTTTCTCCGCGAGAAATCGGAGGTTATCTTCAGTTAAAGAACGGCCTGTTGCCGATCGAAATTTAACATTCAATGCTTCGGCCACTTGACCCCATGGAACTTTATCGGGTACTGCACAACGGGTAAACTTAGCGTCCAAACCTGAAATACTAATTCGCCACCCCCGACGCTAAACTGCGACTGAAAAAGAAGTGAAAATTTTTCGTCCATGACAGACTCTGTTCCTTTCTTCTCCGCCCTTTTGATCTTCTTCAATTGCATATTGCGGAAGCTTACAGATAGCTGTCTCGTTGCCTACAAAGTAAACACCACATTTCTTATATTAATTATACATCTATGGCAGCAGTTGCAACCACAGTACACATATTCGACAGTATCATGAACTACATATAGTACTCTTACCTGATGGTATTCCATGGTTCCTGTGTTATTGAGAATTTCACCACTAGCCTCTCCATTTTTTGCCATTTTATCACTCTTCAGAAGGGCATTTGCCTGAGCTTCGCTAATAATGCTTACTTTTACTTGAGGAGGTGTCATGTGAACGTTTAATTTTCCACCCACAAGAAGACGTACAGTACTAGTAAAACGTGTATTAGTCTTCATTACTTGCGGCGGTTGCTTTTCTATGATGAACGTACTAGTTACTAGTGAACTAAGAAGCTGTGTAATTTGTGAATTTAACGTAGGTAGAATATCTTGCATTCCAGGTGGTTCGAGAGCAAATTTCTGTTTTAAACGTTCGGCTTCTTTGATTTGTTGGCGATTCAGCCAAATTAATTCGGCTAGACTCTCACACCATTCTTGAATAGAGTCTAAATTATTATTAAACGGCGCGCCATTCCCGGCTAATTGTTGGTCTCTTTTCCATCTATAAAATGAAACGTTTTGCATTTAACATGTATTCAAAACCCTTAGTTCTGTTAAAAACAAAAAGAGGCTAAGTGAAAATAAATTTTACCTAATAAGTTCATCGTCCAATACTCTGGATTGCAAGCTATTTAGCCTAGTGATTGTATCCTTCAGTTTGTCAGCTAGTGTCAATCTTAACTGCATCAAACCAGTCACTTTATGATTTAGTACTTGCTCTTGTTGCTCCTTTTGTCTATAATATTGTTTTTTGTTCTTAATATCAATGGAAAAACTTAAATGTTTTGTGTCAAATTACAGGAAGCATTAAATTACCTTCTGATCTTTTTCTCCAAGTCTATATTCTGTTGATTTTGTGGTTGTGTTGCAAGGTGTTGAAGATGCGCGTTTAATTTGGTACACTCGTGATAACTAATAGCAAAGGCTTCTTGTTCCTGTTCCATTTTTCGTAAATCTTCCCCAGTTTCTTGTGTTCTACGCCGTAACGATTCAACATGCTGTGCTATTTCAGCTACAGCATCACTAATCAATCCAACTTTTCCTCCTGCCATACTCATTAATGCTCCTCCCAAATTTTCTACTTGTGCTACTAATTTCATTTCTGTTCCTAGACAGTGTCTGATTATTCTGAACAATGTTGTTGGATTATGAGTATACCTTTGCTGCATTGAAAAAAAAACATTTAACTGAGCTTTACTGTATATTCTTTTCGATATACTTATTAATGAACGTTCAGGAAACTTACACGAAAATTTTTTGCAGCTTCCATTAATTTTAATTTTGTAAGAAACATATCGTCTGTATTCAAAGATGCTGCTTTAGATTCAAGTTCTTGTATCAGAGATATAACAAGATTAGCTATATATTGTTCATGTTGTGGATTTTCAGGTTCTATGTCAGTCCTATAACATATGATATTCAGCTGAGTACTAAATAAAAACTGAATAATCCAATCATGCATAAAGATATATGCCTTACCACATCTTTTCTTCTATCCAAGATGACAAAAAATGTCGAACCTCTATTGGAAAGTGCTCTCCATATACTGAACGCACCTGTTGCAGTGCATCTTGGGGCAACTGTTGTGCTTTTGCCCACAATGACATTTTGACTACTAACAAAAATCCTGTTTTAAAATAATTTTACGTTGTTTTTAGGCAAATGGAATTTAGAAAACACAGAAACTACTTCCATTGATAACAATGGTAATCCATCACCGAGGAATTAATGGTATAACCACAAAATAACGTTACACTATAAACCTTCATTTGGACATCTGGTATACAGAAAATTAAACGCAGGGTTCATCGAATGATTTTACGTACAATTACAGAATATTCACAGTACGAGTCAACAAAACCACGAAACGTTTGATGTAATCTGTATATAGAGAGGCATGTGGGTAGATACATGCTTTCGAAACTCAAACAGTCGACACGGAAATACTCTAAAACGACTATCATATTACATTATTTAGAAAATTTAAACGAAATCGCTATTATTCGAGTGAATAATTCGGTGCTCCGATAAAGATTAACACAAGAAATATGATCATTGTTTATAGGTAACAGAACGTGACGTATCGCAATAACGCGTAAATAGTTAAGCGGGAGGGGCAAAAAAAAAAGATGTTCAGTCAAAGAATTGCTCGCACTCACCTGCTACTAGTCCGAAGACAGAAGCAACTAGGATCTGTCCAGTATCGATAAATTCTCTGTCTGCTCCGGTTAATTTGTTTGAGATGTAACCTTTGAACCGATCAAAGCTAGTCTACCGCGCAATAATCGTAAACGTAACGATCGCGGGGACCGGTCGCACACGCGAATCTCGTCAATAACTTTCCTTCCCCCTTCTGCGTTCCTCCCATCGATACGGACGATGACGGAGTGCAGCGGACAAGCAATTCCGAGAATTTCTTACCGTAAATGGCGCGGTCCCGAAGAGGGGGGGCGGTCACATGACTAAATACCAATCACGCTTGCGCGAGTCAGTAATTTTCCCAGGAACGTAACAAAATAAAGGAATAAATATTGATACGCACAGGATAACTTCGATCTTCAATATTTTCTCCCGCAAATCAATGATCACATTTTCCTCAGTTTTACCCGTATTCGATTTGTCATATAGATAAACATTATTATTACGTAACAACCTTATTTCGAATACTGATAACTCACAAATTGATAATTCAGTTTATCATCAGACATATCGTACCTTTTCAAACATGCAACAACTGCACTTACTATATACTCACGAGTAGGAGTAGTTTCCTACTAAAAGTAATGAACAGAAGTAAAAGAAAAATTTATGCATTATAATATGTAATCACATATTAAAGTTCAAAATATATTATTCTGACAATAAACATTAAATATATGTATATCGAATACATGTTCTTAAAAATTTATATGATCATAAAAACTGTTGTAAAGTATATAAAAATACAAATTTGGAGGTGTAAATACTGATGTAAGTACAATATCTTCAAAATAAATTTTTCTGTAAGATTACTTTTCAAAGGGATTTCATACTTTGAAGAATAAGAGGTGGAAATACAAGAAATATAGCACCAATCAGATATGTTGTCCTACTGCCAATGTACCAAAAAGCTAAAACAAAAATCTTTGTCATAACATATGAATTTATGAGTATTTTATAGACTTTACTCTTACCTAAAGAAGCTATAATAGGTCCACAAGACCTAGCCAATGCCCCAAGTGAGCGAAATACACCTGTTATTACTCCTTTTTGGTTCTCAGGCCCGATTCGCGACACAAGTGTCATCATACAAGTCACCACCATGGCAGTAGCTATGATGCATTGAAAAGTTTTAAATAGTTTTTTCACCTTATTATATTAAATTTAGATGGTAATACACTCACAAATTGCAAATAAAAGTATTCCAATGGACAATGCTAGTGTATTTTCTGCCACACCAATACATACAAATGCTGGTATTACTAACCATAAGCCCTATATAAAATATTTAAAATTTATTGGAAACATTTAAACCTTGTAGAAGTAAAAAAAAAGACTTAAGAAATGGGTAATATTTTTGTATTAAGTTTTAAATGCATTTACCAATTCTGCTGTTGATTTTGTTTTATTTGGTGGAATTGTTCGTACCCAACATCCTTGCAATACTGCCATAACTAATCCAATTCCTAAGAACATCCAACCTTGTTGCATGCTCGTAAATTCAAAGAAATAATGAGTCAAGAATGTTAAGGTAAATTCTAAACCACTGTAAAGGAATAAATACATAAAATATGCATAGCCTAATACTCTTAAGCTTTTTTTATCTGGAACAATATATACATATATACATAAAAGTTTCATTATTGTATTGAAATTTGCGATGCAGCAATAAAAAAAAATTCACCTTGGATGCTTAAGCCAGATACTCCATTAAACTGAAACAAATCTATAGGATTGATATAAGCAATGGCTCCAGATATGCCAGACTTCAAAGTAAGTGCTCTATTCTTTGGTGGTAAAGATTCTCTCAAATTGAGAGCAATGAAACATAAATCACTTGCTGCTAGAAAAAGAGCGAAAATGGCAGGTATCACGTACCAAGCTCCTTCTCTATTATTGCTTGAAGCCCAAGCAAAGAATGCTCCTATCATTGGTCCTGCAACGAAACCTATGGAAAAGGCTATACCAACTAATGCCTAAAAATTAGCAGAAACTCTAAACCTTGTGTGCATCTTCAAAGTATGTATATTATCTTGTATCTAATATGTCAATTCTTCAACACATACCATTGCTTTTCCTCTTGTTTTTGCACACGTAACATCTGTTACAATGGCCATTGACAAACCAATATTTCCTTTACTAATGCCGCCAACAAATCTTGCTAATACAAATATAGTAAAATTATAAGACAATGCCCACAATAAATAAGACAACATGATGCCTGTCGAGCAAAGAAGCATCAATGGCTTTCTTCCATAAATATCAGATAATGCCCCTACAATTGGTGAACCCAAAAATTGTAAAAAGGAGTACATAGAACCAAGGAAACCTATAAATTAAATTGATCGTCTTCGTTAATACCGATGCGCGAACAATTCGAAGTAAAAAGTAAAGGAAAAAACCAAAACTAAACTAACCTCCATAAAGTACTGTACAAACTTTATCGGGAGCGTTAAAAAATTTTCTTGTGCTTTGTATATAATGTAAGATCTTAAAATATAGGCCCTGATCATTTTCGATTTCTTTATAATAGTCTAACAACGCCGGTAACAATGGTAGTATCATTGTAAATGCTAATAGATCCAATAGCAATGAAATAAACACCACTTGAACAGTATTGTCTTTTATTTTAGCCATTGTTAATTCTCGAATGTTTTACAATAAAACGGACGTGTTGAACATGAGATTACCAAGTTGTTAAAAATAATATAACTTTTATCAGTCACTGTGTTCCCTCAATCACTGTGTAAAATTAAAAACGTGTCGTACAAGAATTAACTTGGATAACCCCATAATTATCACTTATATTATTTTTCTCAGACTATTTTCAAGCTACATAACACGACAAACTGGACGTTTCGATTGGGAAGGTAGAATACACTAGTTTAACGGGAATACTTTCTCCTTCTTCCATTATAAAGGTTGGGAAGTGTACTAGGTATGTAATTCCTACAGTGAAATGGCTTGACCCACTTTCGGCACTGTATACTTATATGTAGAATTTTTTGTCCCTTGTTTTACGATCGATAACAAAAGAATCTGCATTGCCATTGACGTTATGTTATCGACACGAACATTCTAAACGAACTCTACATTATCCACACTAGATTTCCCGTCAAACAGTCTGCCCTGTCCCAAACCTGTGATTGTGTCCTCTGTCCAAACAGAATCATTCATGAAGCACATAGTTTATCGAATTAAATTTACGATTTTTCTTTCACATCTCTCCTATCTTGTTACATTAATGGAACGAAAATTTATCACGTTTGTAACACGAACAAAGAAATGCAGTATGTACACGTAATGCCCATAATAACATCAATCAAAACCAATACATACCTTACAAATTATTGGCAAAATCCAACCAAAAAGAAACTTACGAGTGAAATAGAATACATATATCACTATGTAATAAGCTCATGTTGTAAAAAACTGCGTTTACGTATGTACTCTTTATATCTTGATTAATCATTACATTGTTTTTATTTGTCAGTGAAGCGAAAAATAGCACAAACCGGCGCACCCAGAAACATTATGTATGTTTAACTTCCGGTTGCACACGATATAAAGTATTTGTATACACGGGACACAAACACGTTTGCATTCGACCACGGATTCACTTCCTCGATGGGAACAAAGATCTTTTGAAACCCGTCCCAAAGTGTAACGTCGCCTGGAACGACCGTTTTTTATCGCGCAGTATTTCAATAGTTTTTTTTACTAGAAGTTTCGGGGAAATAAATCAGAAGGGGCAGACATCGAGTTTGCAATTCTTGTCGTGAGAATGCGGTTAGTAGTGATCCTAGCATGGCACTAATTTTCGAAATATATAACGTCGTGTAAGGCAAGAATCACAGATATATTCACATTACCTACGACGAAAAATCAATCGATCGGCTTGTCTATAAGTTTATTAATAACCGTAGTTACAGATTCTGTATCTTTCAAATGATATCGACTAAATCAGGTGAAACTTACGCGAATACAGAACGTATATTTTTCTCCAATCGAAAAATCTTAAGAATAGTTCAGACCTATGCATAGAGCAGGTGGCCCAGAAACCAGCAGCGTTGTATCATGGCTAAAATTTAAGCAAGAGATTCGACGCTTGCCATCTGGGCCCTACGGTGTGAAGCGCATACGGTACATCGATGCCATTCCATTCCATTCGGTAGCATGTGTCGATGTAAATACTAAACACAATAACACTTTTCTTATTCAAGAAATTTCATAAAAACAAAGCAACAGATTGAACAGAATGTATACATAGATCTTTCACTGCGAAACTGTCAAAGGAATTCGTTTAGTTTTGAAAACTAACACACTCCATGTAACGGTGAGTCAAAGCCGTTTCAGATTTGAAAAATACGAGTTCGTTGGTAAACAGCTTCGAATTATTGTTTGCTCGTACAAGGACAAAGAAAGTTCTTGTGACAAACACTGGAACAAAAGAAATATTTCAATTTGTATCTCCATTGCATTTGTTTCCGTATAGTACTTACGTGTATATGTGTCTGTGCAGAAATATGAATTTGAGAGAAGTTTTAGACGGATCCGTGATCGGGATTGAATCGCCGCCGTTCTCTTCAACGAGAGCAGGTATGCAAAGCGACAAAGAAACCGAACTCAAAATCCCAGGCGGAGGGTGTTTGTAAGGATGTACACGAGAGAAAGAAGAAAGGAAGTGAACGGAACCAGGCGGGCAGATGGGAAAACCCTCGGTGGAGAAAATCGACAATTTTCTAAGAAGCACAGGCTCGTAAACTCGTACAGTGGAAATGTTCCGAACAATAAGGACAAAGAAAATTTTCGGGTAGTACGGTGCACGGTATACCGGGTGGCAAGCTGCACTCCGATACGCGTATATAGTATATATATATATATATATATACCGTGCAAAGCCCTGCCGTCCGTATAAGCCCCGTAGGTATTATGAACTAGGTGCACAAGACTTTTGAAACCAGACAGGCATCGTGTATGCCATAAACACGAGTGGACGGACCCTCTCTCTCACGGACTGTAAATCCTCGTTCCGGACGGTATTAAAGGGAAGACGACGGTCCGTCAACCCCCAATACAACTAGAAGAAGACGCGTTCGCTAGGTGGTATACTTATGTCGAAAACGGGATTCAAACGCTGCGATGTTGCAATTCGAGGGGTGAGAAAAGAAGGAATCAATTGAAACGAATAAAGAAGGACCAACGGTAGAGGGAGAGGCGAATGTTCGAACAAAAATATAGAAGGAAAGGAAAAAATTGAAGGAGGAGCGAAATAAGGATGGGGCAGCACGGTGGAAATAAGGAGAACAGAGGAGACTGTATTGGGGCGTATCGTATACGTTCGACCAGTGTACATCTATATAGAGTATAGTACCGACGTAGAAATAAGGATATGTAAGCGCGCGTGCCCGCGCAACAGCGCAACCGACAGCAGATGCGCTCACAGCGCAGCTGTCCTCCTACAAGTGGTTCTCAATCAGTCCCTGTTTTCAGGGCATTTCCCTTGATCCCTCGGACCCCGCGTCAGTCACCGCTGGTTAAAATAACAATACCGAGGCAACGCTTTCTTACGCATCGACAAGTCGTGTTGATGGCTATTTCAAACAATACTGAAGTAAATTAATCGATCGGAAAAAGGATTATGTCGTATTTACCGCGTAAACAGTCTTGTTATCGATTATACGTTCGTTCATCGTGGCAAAAAAAAATACTTTAAGTGGTAGATGGTCTAATAGAAGACAACGTTTAAACAATCCTATTCTCATTTTTCGAGGTTATCCCTTAAAACGCTCTTCTCGCTGTTTCGATATAGCAAAGTTGCAGCACAATGACAGGAACACGTGTTGAACGCAAGGTTCAGCTGTTCCAGCTGAAAAACGCACGAATGTACTGACACAGCTTGTTGAACATTTGAAAAATCTACCACTTATCGGCGGACGCGAGCCCAAGCACGTGCTTAAGTATATAGACCTCGTATGAATCATGATTTAAGCGACACGTTAGGATTTAGGATTTCTTATAATTCAAAGTGATTGTTAGATTGGACATAAAAAGGAAATATTGTGCCATAAGCATGTGTTTTATCGACCTTTTCATGATCGATGATGATATCGAAACGTGTTTTACGGGTAACGTGAATTTCGTCGTAATATTTCTCGAACGAGTCTAGAAAGTGTCACTGGTTCGTTCTTAATAGCCTGACTATTGTAAAATTCAACAGACCCTTTTTTTTCTCTCATGGGATACTTACCTGACGAGAGGATACAGAAGGACGAGAAGAGCTGTACACGTCACGTACTTTACAGACCGACCAAAATTCAGGACAGCTGATACAATTTTGGCGGGCTTTGCCGGTGAATCTGCAGCACAAAGCGGTTACAGGGTAGGACGAAGAAAGCGCGAAGCGTAAGGAAAGGGGGGTCGCTCCAATGAAAAGGAGACGGAGACGCGCGTAGACAGAAGGAAAAAGGGGGAACAGAGAGGTGGCGAAGGAGGGGGAAAGGGACGAGGAGCAAGAGCGAGAGAAGAAATCCGGAGGAAGTGGAAGAATCGGAGGTAGAAGTTGCCGCAGAATGACAGAGAGAATGGAGAGGGACCGAAAAAGGATGAAAGAGAAAAAGGAAGGGCAGCCTCACTTGGTTGTTGCTGGTGTTCCTGCATCGTTGCTGTTAAATAAGAATAAGCCCCCACCATCGGACCTAAGGGGCACCTACATATATAGCTGGGGGCTTCATGTACTTGGGGCCCAAAAGGAATAAAGAGCCGGGACACCTGGTCACGGGCAGCAGTTTGTCGAGAACTCCCCACGCGGGACAACGGTGTCGCAGTCTTTACGGTACCCTGGCAAATTCGTCGGATATTCGTCATCCCCGAGATCCACGATCCAAACCGAACGGAACGACGATATTACGAGGCTCATCTTTCGTCGACAACGTATCTCTGTCGTCGTTGTTTTCATCGTAGTCAGAAAAGTACGCCGTGACAGTACCGTCGTACCAATAGTGTTTGTGCAGTGCACGAGAAATATTCGAATCCGCGTGGTTTCTCGTGATTTTGTGCCGTTTTCGTTAATACGACACTTATTAACGACAGCTACGACGGGACCAAATGACTAAACGTAATGAAACAAGACAGGACGAAGAGAGACAAAGATAGGAGACAGCCATGAGGCGCGGAATACTATACTGGCAACCGGCGAAAGACGTCATTCGCTGCGATTTGAGGGTTAGGGTGTGCTACACCGGTAAACGTGCTGCTTCGTCGAAACGTGAATCTACGGTATTGCATCCCAATTTTGTATACTACTTGAACAACGTAATAACGTAAAATCTGTGCACCTTTTTAAGACTGTGTTTCTAAACGACCGTGTCATAAAATAACGATATACTTTTTAAATATTGTAGATATCGAACCTTTGAATCGCATCTTCGTTGTAGATATCGAACCTTTGAATCGCATCTTCGTTGTAGATAACGAACCTTTGAATCGCTTCTTCGTTGTAGATATTCGTACCAAGCGGGTCACACTGTAAAATTACAAGGATTACAATATTTTTTCATATAATGCATTCAAAGCGTTCTTTTGTTCAATCATCGTTTCGTGTGAAATTATGCAATGCGTAAATTCAATTACACTGGTTCGTGCAGTGCTTGACGAATATGTACTAATAATCTCGTGTACCAAACCATATTAGCACACGACGGACGACATATCATAAATTGATCAATTGATGCTTCTATAAAATAGTATTAAAATGTTTAATACCGATAGTTTGCGATTCAGGACACATAAGTCTCGCTCTCTTTCTCTAATTCAGAAACTAGTCACAAAGGCCGAGTTAGAGAAAGATTCGATACGAAAATACGCAACTACGAGGCACACGCATTTTTATGATATGTATACGTTAGTTGAGAATAAAATACATTCGTTTAAAAATTCCCAAGTATTAGGGAATTCCCAAGTGATGCACGGATTTATTGATCAGTGTTTCTTTTTTGCAAGTAAACCTTGACTGGGCGAACAGAAGAAGTTCATCGTAGAAAGACTTGCATCGAAGATAGGCCGAGATTTGTGACAATGTTTCGTGATTATACAATTTGTCAATATTGCACTTATCCCGGCTCATCGGAATGCATTGTATTCCGTCGTTAAAAAATAAAGTAAACTAACCACGATCGAAGATACGGATAGATACGCTGAAGAAAACAAGCGGCGTCGTTGGACAGCCTGTTGAACACTTTCGAAAAATTTATCGAGGGTATCGGCAGGTTGGAACGTGGGCACTATTTGTTGTTAAATTAAATCAAATTGCACTCGTTCTGGCCTGCTGGATCCATGCGATCTATCATCTGCTGCGTCCCTGGTGTCGAATAAAAATATCGTTGCGCATATTAACTTAAAGAAATTTCTTTCCTTCCAGATTTGTTAAAATGTTATTTCGGTATGCGTGAACACATTCTTATGTGATAAAATAAAGATATCAGAAAAGATTGTATGTAATTACAGTTCACAGGTAAACTTTATGTAAAAATTGAAATGTATAAAAGAATGAGATTTGAAATAAACAGATGAAACTTAATACGTTGCTAATTTATCATTTTTACCTTCCTTCCTAAAATCACTTTATTGTAGTAATTTATCATTTCGTTTGGTAGGCTGCAAATCAATATATCATTCTCGACTGCAATGAGTTAAGTTGAAAAATTATAAAACAAAAATTTGTGTACGAAGTAGAAGAACGTATTGCTAAATGTGCTGTATCTGATCGATTCAAAATACAATTTTGTCGACGATCAATGATTTTCCAAAATAGACAATAAAAGAATACGAGATCTGAATAAAAAGTATAACCTTAAGAGTAACGATGTATATACTGAAGAAAGATCAAACTTCTTCTGATATTTTAGGGATTTGTAAATATATAAACTTTAAGAAAGAAAGGGAAAATAAGACTACTAAGTATTAAATATTCTCCTTTTACCCACGCGTAGTTTTTTTGCCGGACGCATGAAACGAGACTTACAATGTATGCGTGTACTACGAATAATCGTTCTACACTATTCAGTGTTCGATTGTTTTGCTATGTTAAAAAGTGACACGATAGATAGAACAAAGAAAAATTGGTCGAAGAGAAGCGTGGAAAAACTACACACGAGAGGTTACATTACGTTCGATCGAATAAGAAAACACAATAAAAGTAGTAGGGCTGGTTCTCCTGATGGAACATGAATCCTGTTTTTTCATTCATATTCTTCAGGTTGAAGACGTGTGGTACAACGTGGTGCAAGCATCCCCCTTTAAGAGTCCCACGGTTTGAAATAAAACACCTGGCTTCTTCCCAATGTGCGCACCATACAGTGTGTACCGTACCTACGTGTATATGTATGCACTCACAACTACACCAGAGAAGATTGCGCGAAGGAGCGCGCGCTCGCCCGTTTATGGGACCGTATTCTCACGGCAAGAGGGAACTACTCTTCACAGACTGGTTTTGGCTTCCTTATAAACTTTATTCAATTCTGTATAATATGCCAAAGGGTACATTTGACGTCTGTGTACGTTCACACATCTACATGCAGGTATATACATGTACTATTCATATGCTAAACAATAAAGACGCTGAAAGAATCTCTATCTTGTAGATAGGGCTGTGCAGCTGCCCGTATCCATGCGTCTCTGTGTACGAATTCGTTGTAAAAAAATTCTTTGATTATACAAACCATAAAAACTGAGACGTTGTATCGTTCAATAAGAGAATAAAATTGCTACTTTTAATACGAATTCTCCATACTTATTGCAACGTCCGTTTTACAATTAACAACGAACCATACTTTCTTTGTCTTTATGTTTCTATTACTTCAGATTTAAACGTAATACATTCATATTTGATGCAAGCAAATAATAACAAAAAAATAAATTGCAAACTATACATTTTCGGGTAGTGTTTGTCCTTATGTAGATTTATATATTTAATTGAATTCAAGTTAATTCAATTTGATTGTAAATGTTGTAACGATTGAATCGTTTTCGAGGAGTTCAATCGAAGTTCAAACTAGATAAATTACATTTTTCAAGTTCTGACGCAATCATTTGTTATACCAGTTACATAGTAGAAATTCAAATTTGTTTAAAATACAAATATTTTTGATTTCGTGTTTTTCCAGTTATTTCTACTTTGTGAACATTCTTTTCGTAGTATGCACGTATATAGAACATCCATCTGTATATAAATACATCATTTTTCGCAGCTCGTCGTTTCAAGAAATTGAAGACACTGAAAATAATGGTACACTCAATTTTATTTTCGAAACACCTCTCCTGGCATTTACCACTCTGTTCGCAGAGAAAAAAGCAAAGCCTGCAGGTAGACAACCGAACAGATGTACAAGTAGAAACGGACAAAAGCATTTAGGCTCACTATAGGTTCGATACTACGCCTCTTTCCTCCAATCCTCCGATTCAGCCTGCCCTTGTGCGAGGCAGGAAGATATCTAGAATAATACAAAGCAGTTTTATATGTCTAAACTTTTACTGAATCGGTTTTTATTAAATCTCAATGAAGTGTAATTAACTTTATTTTTGTAAATAATTCTTAAGAAACACACAAAATGAATCATTTGAAGTGTGTTTCGTACAGGTTAGTAATAAATATTTTTATTTGAATAACAACTTATCTTACTTAATCGGGCTTCTTTTTCATTATTTTTACAACAAAATATATTATGTAGAAACAAATATTTAACAGGTCTTCATGGTGCCGCTTAAGGAGACCGCAGTCGTCGTTGTCGGCGTTAAATTCTAAAATTCAAATACCACCTAGAATAGAACGAGGACCTACAGATATCTTACGTGTGAATATAAAAGAAAATCTTGTGTTGAATCCTCTACTAACCATATCTCATTTAACAAAATTAACTGTAATTTTTTTTTATGTATCAAAGGCTCTTGATCAAACAGTACCAAGAAATCCAATGAGTATGCCCTACAAGTACCAAGATGATCCCTTTTTACTTCCATCGAAAAGAAGTGAAGCTAATTTATATTCATTATCATATGAGTCTGGTAAAAAAATGGCAATGTGGATTCATAAAGAACATGAAAATTTGTTTCCAAGAACTCTTTCGGAACCAGAGATTAAGGTATACATTGTCCAATGTGATATATATTTTTAGCTTAAATCTAGTAATTGATTCTTTAGTTTTCATTTTATGATTTATAGTCATTTATGCCACCAGCAATATATACAGATAAGAGTCAAGTATCTGAAAAACTGTTATTGAAAACTATATCAGAAGTTAACATATCAGATGCAGTGCACATATACAAGTTGATGGAGGGTAATGTTTCTAACGAAGCTAAACAATCCCTTTTCGAATTATTGTGCTTTTACAATGGTGATACAGAAACATTGGAGAAGTCATCAAATGAACGATGGTTCTTTAGAGTGAAAAAAAGGAAGCAATGGCAGTAAGTTTTGAATACCGAATACATGCACCTTCATATCTCTAACAGTTTCATTTCTTAGGAAGGATCCATTGATTGAAGAATTATATGAGTTTTTAACAACCCAAGATTCAATAACAGCATCTAAAGCTCATAATACCCAGATATGCGGCTATGCAAAATGGTTGAGGGTACAGTGATGTTAATTTACTTCCTTGTGAAACACTTTCTCCAAAACAGTTACTAATTACAATTTTTTAGGGCCAAGATGCTTGGAAGTTGTATCTGAAGTGTGAAAAAGAAAAAGTTCCGTTAAATGTTAATACTTATAACTATATCATCTCACAAATTCCAGTAAATGCAGAAGCAAATGATTCAGTAATAGTAGATATCTTATATAATCTTCTTCAATCTATGAATCAGAGAGGGATTCTACCAAATGTTAGGACACTGAATGCTGCTCTTAAGGTAGCCTCTTCAGTGTCAACGCTTTCCACGGCTGAACAACTTGTAAAACATTTATTTATAGAATTCAAAAGACTAAACATAAAATTTTCTTTAGGCTCATTTTATTATGCTATTGTCGTATTCACCCGTAAAGGTAATAAACTTTTATACCTGTTAATCTTGACTTTATTTCCAATTTACAAAATTTTATATTTTTGTGTAGGTGACGACACTTACCCTTATTTCATGGATATCCTAGATGTAGTTTCAAGAGAAAACTTCACTATTCAAGATCCGATAGACAATAAATTTTTTGTAGAAGCTATGGAGACAGCTTCAAAGTATTACTCAAATAAGCAAGCTGGTGAAATAGTACACAATCTTCTATTAACTGGCGAAAATAACAAATTTTTATCTCATTCAGCAATTGTACGTCTTTCTTTTTTTAACGGTGCACTGAACCACCTAGCAAGCATACGACTATGTTATTTAATAATGTGTTTTCCATTACAGGAGAAGAATTATTATAATTCGTACCTTTCATTGATGTTATCAACAAATACGCTACAGCAATTTATGGAGTATTACCGAAACGTTGTTCCAGGTTTTTTCCTACCAGACTTTGTGCTAATGTACAAAATTTTCTGTTCCATGAGACCATATCCACCAGAAGTTCTAGAAGAATGTTTACCAAAATATTGGTTAGATGCAATGACATATGGACTAACAAAATGTGATGTGTGCTTGGTTGCAGTGGAATTAATGCAAAGTATTCCTTTACCGCCTGAATCACCATTAACAGCAGTATTTACAGATGCAGCTTTGAACACTTGGAGTTACATAACAGTTGAGTATTTATATGCCTGCTATATTGAAATAATACCATAAACGAGAAAAAAGTGATGTGAACGTAATAGAGAGCTTGCATTTTAGAACAACATACATTCACGGTCGTATAACCAGGAGCAGTTTTCTGCAGTTACAATGGGCCACATAACATTGCTCTTATTACGAGGTGGTCGTACAAAAGATGGTATATATTCGTAATTGTTCTCCTAATTTATTTAAATTTCGAGTGATAACTATACATTTAATTGTTTCCTATTTCAGCTTATTATTGAATACTGCGTGAATTTAAAATTACAACACGTCGCTGAAATGGTTAAATTACTGTATAATATGACAGAACTCAGTGACGCTGACCGCAATAAATTGACGACATTTATGGCAAACGAAGAGGTGGACACGTTAGACACAGTGAAATCAGAATAATTCTAATTTGATATAATAAAGAATTATTTATAATAGTTTATAATCGTTTATAGTTTGTTTATTCGTTTTTTTGTAATATGTATACAACGATAAGAGACTGTTGCGTTGATGTATTAAAAGTGACGAAAATTCGCGTGCGATTTCGGTTTAAATTCGTGTCGTATGTACAAGAATTTCAATTAATTTGTCATTCGAAGAATATAAGTTACACGCGTCATTGGTATAGATATTAGTGTCCTTGTCCCTCTGGCTAGGGTACGTACGATTAATAAATTAAGTCGTACAGCAGTGGGAGGTACTATCCTCTTGTCACTCAAATACTTATTTCCTGCATCGCGCAGCTCAACATCGCAACCACATTCGACCGATTTAAAGACTGGAATACCACGGGCACCTACCGATTCAAGAACGTTAAAACCGCACGGAAGAAAAGTCTTCGAGTGAAACTTGACAGAAGTATTTCTTTAACATATTCGTGAGAAATCGAAATCGACTGGCTTTACTTGTTTGACGGAGTGATGGACGAGAAAGGAGATTCGCGTCTTACGTTGGAAACTGTACGGGAATTGATAACGAAAGACGAATCGAATGTGAAGATTAACAGTTTAGAGGAAGAACCTGGCTCGGGACGAGGTGACAATTACACGTCGATGCTCTACCGTATACGTGCAAAAGGACAAAAACATAGTGAGACAACAGGTGAATGGATCAATTACGAACGCGCGATTATTTACAAAGTATTACCCCAATCGAGGGAACATCGAGAGGCATTTAAGAGCGAACTACTATTTCGAAACGAGGTTGCATTTTACACGTATGCGTGGCCCACGTTGAATAAGTTGCAAACAACCGATGGAAATGTATTTAACGGAGTCGCCAAAATATACGCAGCGCGGATTGATCTTATCGCCATGGAGGATTTACGAGAAAGAGGCTTTAAAATGGCTGATAGGAGAAAGGGACTTGAGATTGATCATTTGAAACGAGCTTTGAAAGCTTTGGCTGGTTTTCACGCGCTCAGTTTAACGCTACGAGAAACAAGGCAAGTCGAATATAGTAATTTTCTTTTCTTTCTCTCTCATCTCTTTCTGCGTGCATACCGTTGCATACATTAATAACATTGTAATACACTTTCTACACGTATACATGATGCATATTTCGAAGGCCGGAAGAGTTTGCAAGATTAACGGACCCAGACGGAAATCACGGAATACGGGAGGTACTTTTTCGCACGGAAAACGAAGATTGGTACCGGCAGTATTATCAAGAAGCTGCGAAGAGCGCTATTGAAATGGTGTCCGAAGGCCTCTCTACTCATATGGAACCCAAACGGACGGAAATAATGGGAAAATTGCGAGCATTCCTCGAGGACGATGTATTTTTTCGTACCATGAGCGAAGTCGCTGCCGTACGAGGACCCCTCACAGTGATTTGTCATGGTGATTGTTGGACCAATAATATTCTCTTCAAGTATAAAATGCATATAACAATTTATAAAACTTGTACATATCAGGTAGGTTTTTTTTTTTTCTTATAATGTCTCGTAGCCCCTTCAGCTAGGAATTTAGCGAGAATATTGAATTATGAGATCAGTTTCCTTTTAGTACAATTTTATTATATAAATTTGTAAGATTCTTATATTACGGTTCTCGTGTTTTCTTCTCACTGATTTCATCAGGAAAGGACTACTTTAGAGTGGTGAAGAGAGAATTCTTGTAATATACGTAGTCACTTCATAAAAACATCGCCTTATTACGTAAATAAATTATATTCTACTATTCGTTACAGAAGTAGTCGCGGAAGTTTTGCAAATTTTTGTTGCATCCCGTGAACGTAACTTCCTTGATACAGAGACGAACACACATTGCAATAATATTAATCTTGTTTTGTTGTTTCGGAAAGCAAAGATTGCGTCAAGTAAATGATATTGAAGAAAAGTATTACCGATTAATCGGTCGGTTAGAATTTACCCAGAATTGAATTTCGATATTTAATATCATGACGTTCCAGGACGTGTGTCTGGTTGATTTTCAACTAACCCGAGTCGGTTCGCTCGCTCTTGACCTCGTGAACTTTCTATACTGCTGTACGAGCGGAGAAATTAGACGGACACACATGACACAGCTTCTTCAACATTATCATTTCCATCTGATGTCTTCGTTACACAGACTTAATCCAGAACAGCCAGCGAAAGATCCGTCAGTTATGTGGGAACTGTAAGTAATACACCGTAATTTTTTGTTCGTGATCGAAGAACAGTCGAAGCATCAATACCTAGTCGTTTAATCTTTTGTGGTTAACGTGCAGATTAAACGAGGAAATGCGACGATGCGGACGTTTCGGAATAGGTCTCGCATTGGACATCTTACCGATCAGCACGTGCGAAAGCGAGGAAGCACCAGATATGTATGAGAAACCAGAAACAGGCAAAGAGAAGCAAAAAACTCGAGCACCACCGCGTGGAGGAGCAGAATGTGCGCGACTCATGACTGACTTAGTTTTGGAACTCGTACAGAATCACGCTTTATAATTCAGGCTTGAACGAATCTTTGCGACTAAACAGAATATATGTTTTTCTTACGATTCAAAATGAAATAAAGCAATGATAATATGACATAACGTTATGCGTAGGAATTTAAAAGAATCGTGAATTTCATTAAACATTGTTTGTTGTATACGTGCGCGCGTGGCTATCCTTTCTATGCATATGGTCTCTGAAGTGTATAAACAACAGCCAGGAAAGATGATACGTCAACATCAATAACTCCCAGAAATATTTTCATCCGAATTCTCACCGGACTGCGTTTAGTAATCGTGTCGTAAATTTTGGAATTTATTTCAAGCCCGAACCGTTAAATGCGGATTCATACGAAGATCACTACTGTGTATCGCAGAAATAATATATATTCAGTATTAAAAATTTAATTTGTATTTTCTTCATTTCAAGTTCGTGTCTTCTCTCTTCGTTACGACAACACGTCGCGCTACCACAATCGATAGCTACAATTTAAAAAGTAACTTACAAAACGAGTTACGCCTGTTGCGGAGGCGTATGGGCCGGTGGTTGCTGTACCGATGCTTGAGGACTCGGTGGTTGTTGTTGCTGCTGTTGTTGCGCGGCTGGTTGCCAAGGTGGATGTTGATTCTGTTGTTGTTGCTGTTGTTGTTCTTGAGCTAAACGTTGATGCGCCTGTTGCCTTGCTCTGAATTCGGCGGCTTTCAATTGTTCCAAGTGGAACTGTTGCCTTTCTGTGATCAGTTGCTGCCTTTGGTACTCGAGACCCTCGCGTTCTCGTTCCATTGTCGTTTCCAATTCCTCGAAATGACGCAATTTAATTTCCAATTTTTTCATTTGCGTTTCAACGAGCAACGCCACCAACGATTTGATTTTACGTTCTTCGACAGCTGCCAAGTGTTTCGCTTTGACAGCCGCTGCCGCCAATGCAGCCGCGGCTGCGGACTGCAGTTGTGCGTCCCTTACCACCTTGTCTTTCTTCTCTTTAGCTTCCATAGCTTCAACATCTACCGGCGCTTTCACCTCTTCTTCTGTTTCTTTCATTTCGTCCTCTTTTTTCCCAATATCTAATTGAGTTTGTTCAACTTCGGATTCCTTCGGTTTTTCTGGCTCCTCCTTCTTTGTTTCTATAGGTGTCGATGTTGCTGAATGCGGCGATGTAGCCGCGGTTGCTGGAACGCTTCCAGTGGTCGAAGGTGTTGCTGTATCGTCCGGAGGTTCGGGTGGACCTGTACCAGCTATACCCGATTGCGCCAAGCCTGCGGCTGGATCGAACTTGCCATCCGAATTCGCGCTAGCTTGAACGTTTCTTAAATGTTGATCCAGTAAAGCGACTGGTACTTGATCCTTGATTGCTGCAAATTCTTCCATAGCAGCTTTTGCAGCACTTGCTGCCACCCTAGGATCAACAACGGAAGCCAAAAACGCAACTGTGCTCATAACTGGATTGCCTGCTTTCGAGAAAGGCACCGGTTGATAAGCCAACGGACCCAAGCCTTCTGGTCCCCCTTCTTCCAAATACGGATCTTCTATTGGGAGCCGCAAGAAATGCAAAATACATTCATCTTGGGTCCTCGAACCGACATGTTCGCAAACTTTATTCCAATCATCCTTGTGTAATTCTAATCCTTCTAATAACAACAACGTTTCTTGTTCCGTCCAGTCGCGAGTAGCCCCAGCAGCTTGTTTGTTCTTCAAAACTGCTGGTTTCCTCGAATACTGATCTATTTTCAAACCGAAATTGGCCATCGCACCGGTTGAAGCTTTCTCTTCCGGCCCTACTCCGCTCGACTTCTTTTCTAAATCTAGCAAAGTCTTTGCAGCCGATGGCTGCGGTGTTTTCGGAGGATTTGGATTCACCGGTGCCAAACCCGACGGTGTATCGGACAATACGTGAAAATGCGACGTAGGTGGAGGTCCCATAGGTGTTGGCCTTGATTCCGCGTCTACTTGATAATTGATAAGTCCCCACTGTTCTAAAAATGCGTGTACGCGCATAATCGCGCAAACATCGCCTGCCAAGTTACGTCTACAAGCCGTCGAAGTGATATATTCGGTGGGATTTAATCTGTATGTATCGATCATAAAATTCCTGTACGCTAAATAGATTTCTGGCGTTTTAGATTTGTTTTTACCGTTAAAGAACTCGGACAACGCTCTCTTTTCGATAGTATGAATCGAATTGTAATCAAACCAAGCTGAGTAACTGGGAACAACGATATGATGAGTTTGTTCCGTGACATTATCTTCTGGTTCATCGCCTTTGCTCCCGTCTCCTCTTTCTTTGCTGGTATCTCGTTCTTCTCTGTCTTGTGTACTTTGAGAACTTCCCTTGTCGCCTTCTACCGGTTCATCTAAATCTGCCATATTACCGGATTTCAGAGGTTGAAGTTCGTTGTCCTGTTTCTTACTTCCTGTTGTCGTTAAAGAGGCACCACTCGTCGGAGCACTACCTTGTCCCGTTATCGGTGGATTCGTAGGCGTAGCAACTACTTCCACGATCCGAGGTTCTGCCGGAGGATCTTCCATTCCTTGCGTGAGATCATCTTCCTCTTCTCCGCCACCACGAGACTTCTTCGGAGTTGCGAGCGTCGAGGTTGACGAAGCACTTTGAACACCCGACGGTGCTCTGGCGCTTTTGCGTTTTCCTGGTTTCGGAGGTGGACTAGGAGATCGTTTCCGTTTTGGTTTCTTCGCTGGTGGCGGATGCGACGGTTGAGCCATTAAATCTTCCACCGAAAGCCTGTACTTGTGTATCTTCTTTTGACCATTTTCATCTATTTCATAGTCTTCTTCGTTCATCCACTCGTTATACTGATCCAAATCTAACGCCCACGTTGCAGATACTTTGTATATCGATTTCGTATTAGCGTTTACACCTGTTCCTTCTGGAAAATCCCAGGGAAGGTCGAATGTAGTCCAAGAATCGTAACTATCTGGGAAATAATACCAATGAAGAAGAACGGATCTTTCGCGTCGCATACAGGGCCGCGCGTATTCTTCCTCCATAGGATCTACGGGAGGATAAATTATGTGAGTAGCGTCCGCTTCATTTTCCGCGATAGTACCCTGATGTCGGCGAATAGCTTCTTTTACTTTTGCAGCTGTCGACTTATCCACGTCTGCTTTTACATATATGCTTGGTATGGTCAAACATCTATTCTGAACTAAAGCTCGTTCTGCTGCCATTAACATTTCTACTGTGCGATCCATTCGAGATCCTGCCTAAAAGAACAATCATTTACAAATTGTGTTAGAATTATCTCATAAAATTCTGAATATTCACCTTTCCAACAGGAAAATCAAACCTACGCCATCCTTGCTCTTGTTTAAAACGATATGCCGTTGCAAGAATATGGCATAAACCACCCCCTGATTTAAAATCTAAGAAACATTTCATCTAAAAATATTATAGATTATTTTTCGCTTTTACAGTGATACAGTTGTAAAATAATGTTTAGTTATGTTCAAAGAGAAATACGTACAGGAAGCCTGGTCATTGGTGGTTTTGAAATATTTTTTCCTAAATTATCTTCTTGAAATTGCAACAATTGTACAATCAGTGTGGCTAAACTTTTATTAGTAGGAGGATCTGTTTGTACATACTGTAAAACATAAAACAAAAATAATATTAAGAGAACAACAAATATTGTAAGCTTATTTACAAATAGTCTGAAAAAGCTGAAATTGTATTTCACATACGCATTATCTCTAAACTTTGAAATATATTTATATATATAATATATGTGTCTCCACTATGCCCGAATATATACGTATACCTATTTGAATGTATACACAAAAAGAATATATTAAAAGTATATTATGTTAAACATCTAACGCATTTGATGGTACTGTAAAAAATGTAGCAAACCTAAAGCTGACAATGTATATCATTTAAATAATAATTCAGTTAGAGTTTAAATGTGTATAGAAATCCACAGAACAGGCAGAAAGACATATATATAAATTACTACATCTATGTATTCTGAAAATTTATCTGACATTTGTATTGATTCGAAAATCAATTTACATTCATAATAAAAATGTGACACAATATTGGTGTTATGAAGAACACAAGTGAATGAAATAAGTATGAAAAGACCTCGATGGAATATCTAAATCGTCGTGCAATTGTTCTTTGAGGTTTGACGCCGGGTCATTGAACATACCTTTTTGCAATTTTTTAACAGCCACTGTTTCACTCCATCAAGTTGTGTGAGAATTTCTTGGGACTCAAAGAATTTTGCATTGGGACCTCCGTCCTTTTTTGGTCCTAATGCGAGCATCTTTTACGAAATATTGACTTTAAAAATTGTCAGATACGATACAAGAAAGAACGCCGCGTTTATTGCAAACATGACACGCCTCTGAAGTTGGTCGGTACTACAGCATTTCTATGAACATACTTTTCAGTACAACTGTAGAAATTTCCGATGAACAATTTCCGAAATTTTTGTTCGTTCACTAAGGGGCATTCACGATAAAAAAAGAGCAAAGAAATATTTACTACTATGGTACGCCCTTACGTATAACCTTCATTAAAAATATTTGTTCATAGAACTCAATACCAGATAGTGATTCCGACGATTGGTAAACATGATCTCACGCGGTTTTTAATATGGTGGATCAATGATTTCTAGACAATTCTAGGGAACATACGTTGGTATTATCTGGTATTATTTTACTTATATGCATACATTAATTGTAACCTGAAATAATCGAACTTACTATACATATATCGCGGTAATAAATTTAAATTAAGTATGTACATAATTTTACTAATATAAAATAATATTCTGATGTATATCATTTAAATGCAACATGATATTTGCATGTTCCGATCACAGATGTTTATATATTTTCAGGTACAATAAGTATGTCTGATGAGGATGATGTTGATATAAACAAAGAGTTTGAAAATTTGCTGTTCGCTGAAGAAAATGCTCAGAACTTAGGTCACAAAGAAGGTTATGAGTTTGGCAAACAGCAGCTAATAAAGGGATTTCATCTTGGGTACCATAGGGCCAGTTTAATAGGTGCACAATTAGGATATTACTGTGGTGTCTTAGAACAATATTTGAACGCAAACAAGTTTAATTCAGAGAAAGGTGTTACTATTGCAAAAGAACTTCTTCAAAATATTTATAATTTTCCAAAACATAACGAGGAAAATGTAGACATATTGGGAACTGTAGATAGCATTAAATTTAAGTATGCTAAGTTTTGTTCATTAACTAAAACTTGTTCATCATATCCAGAAGCAGATAAATTTGATTTTTAATCAACAGAACTATTACCCTTATAAAACTCTAAAGCAAGACACTAATACTGTTGACTAAATGTCGAAGTAACTGTCATCTTTGACAAATATAAACATTATCATTATGTATGATGAACAGTTTAAAGAAATTTTGTGTTTCACAAATACTTATTCTGGACTAATAAATTGTCATGTAGTGGATTTCATTACCCAGAACTTATGGGAGACATGTTTGCCAGATGCATTACGATTTGAATTAGAAAGAAGTAAAATGGACTGTGTCCATTGGGCAGAAGATGACAACCATCCTGTACTTACTGAATTCATAAACTTGACAAAGTCACTTTCTTTACAATCATGTTCCATAGAAATAAATTCAATGGACCTTAAAAATACATTACCAATCATCTACAATGTAAATAAATGTAAATATAGAAGTATAAAAATGGAATTTATGAATATTAAGAAATCACATGAGGTTGAATGCCTTGGAAACATTGTTGGAACAGCAGCATCATCAACAAACAGTCTAGTAATAGATGCTGGTGCGGGTAAAGCATACCTCTCAATGTTTTTAGCTGAAAATCATAAAGTTCCTGTTCTTGCAATAGATTCTTCACAAACATGTTGCAAGGGAGCAATTGGTAGACAAATCAAGTTAAGAAAGAGAACAAAGCATTCTCAAAGTTTGGTACTAACAATACGCTGCTATATATCCACTGTATTTTTCCATTTGACTGTAAAATATAAGCATAATCTACTTTATTTTAGGTACAATACATAGTCGACGAAATAAATGAAAGCACAGACTATATAAAAATGATAAATGAACATTTTCGTGAATGGAAATTAGATAAAAATCTCATATTAACTGGTTTACATACTTGTGGTTCTCTTACCCATTCCATTATTAAAACATTCTTAGTCACAAAAGACATTCATCTTCTGTGCATTGTTCCTTGTTGTTACCATTTAACGAACGAAACGTTTAATAAGAAAATTAATTTTTCTAAAAATGCTAGAATGCTCGCTCAACAATCTATCGAAAGAAGCGCAGAAAACAAATCTATGTCATCATCATTGTTCTACAGAGCTGTCTTACAAGTGATACTTTATTCTATGGGTATAATTTCTTTTCTGATTTTATTGATATAATTCTGGCGTTTGATAAAATATTTACTGTTTCGTTCATCAGGTATTTATAATGCCAGAGTAGGTCGCGGAGGACCTTTACACGATTTTCCCAGTTATGCCCGATGGGCATTATTAAGAATTGGAGTAGAATTAGAAAAGGTACAACAGCAATGATGTTACGAATATACCGATATAACGATTCAGTATTAAATAAACAAAATTTTTAATTGCTTCAGATACCATCTGAGGAGCAGCTAGAAAGTACCTATCAGTTGCATGTACATTTATCTAAAAGATTTTATATGTTTCAAATGTTACGGATACACACGGGACTTGTGTTGGAAGCGGCTATTATGTTGGATAGAATAATATTTTTACAAAAAAGTAATCTGTGCTCCAAACTTGCGATATTGCGTTTATTTGATCCTGTCTTGTCACCACGACATTATGGTATTGTTGTAATAAAATAACAGAACAGAATACATAAAAATATACAATGACACAAAGAATGAATTCTTTCATACACAGTATGATTGTTTGAATGTTCCTTTAAATTAATAGTTAAATAGCTTAACAAATATGGAATTGTTGTGATACACAATATACTTTACATGAATGCAATGGAATCATGTGTCATCGATTTCAATGGATTGGAGATAGTCCTTAACAGATGAATATCCTTCCTCTTGTGCTACAGGAGCTAAAATTCCTGTTGGACGTAGACCACTTCTAGTTCTACATATACTGCAATTACACAGACCACGACAAGGTGGACAAGCCCAATTCTGTAAATATTTATTGGTAAGATAATTATAAAGATAGAAGGTACATAAAGAAAAGTATAACATCAACACTTAAATGGCCAGTTAGGTATTAATACCCATGAACAAGAAACAATATGCTCTGCAAACAGCTGTTTAAGTGTTGATACAAATGAAATGCATACAGGATCTTTCAAAGCTTCGACTGCACTTTCACCATATCTTCCTTTCAAGCAAGGTCCACAGAATTGTCCTCTGATTCCAATACATTCTCCTGACCGGCATACCGTTTTTGTATCTAATGTTTTTTGTCTACATTGGTGACAGGAAGTTCCCTTAATTTTACAATAGTCCTTGGTAGAACTTTTCCTTGCTATATTGTTCAACATTGCTTCAGTAATTTCATCAACAGATGGTATGGTCTCTGGGTTGTAAGCAGATTTAGATATTTTAAAAACTCTTCTGTTTGTTACATGGTTATAAGAATCGTTGTTGTCGTCATCGTCATTGTCATAATCATAATCATCATCATCATCATCATGATCACGATCCTGATTATTTTCGTATTCTTCTTCATCCACGTCGCAAACTCCCATTTTCATTAGATCAATCGAACGTTGAAATGGTTTTGCCCAAGGAAATAAAACGTGCAATTTACGTTTATTACTTTTAGGCTCGTCTGAATCACCTTTGATTCCATTTTTCGTTCTACTTCTTGTGTTATATTTCTTACGAAATTCCAGATTTACACGGTTAAATTTAATATTACCGTCGTCAACGGCACCAGAATTAGTTCTACGTCTCTTTCGCGGTTGTTCATTCTCAATGTTTTCCGTGTCTTCCTTCGATTTTAATTTTTTTATTTCTGTCGTCTGAGTCTTTATATCTTTAAAAAATTCTGCGAACTATAACGTTTAAAGTCAAATAAATGCTAAATACAGGTTAGAAATTTGAATCGCAAACAGAAATACTTACGACAGCGTTTCTTTCGGCTATATTTTGTTTACGAAGACTGTCATAGTCATCGTTATTATCCATGTTTAAAACTGTTCAACGATCAAAATTTACAAACAGAAATAATAAAACTTGTATCCTGCAAACTACGCTCCAGCCCAACGGTATTATTATCATGCGACTACTACTGCATAGGTATACGTGTGTGATGCGTGCATCATGGCGAATCGAGGAGAAAATTTGGCGGGTAAAACCAGCACAATCGTGTACAGCGGAGGTATGTGTTAAAAGCTTTAAAAAATTCGTCAGGTGTTGCGTATTTATGATAAAAATGTGATCAGTGGATTAAGTTACTAGATCCTTGTAGAACTCACGTTTATCGAGCTTTGAAAAACGTTCACTCGAGCATCGTTACAAAGAAAAACTCACATTCGTATTTACGACATCGCGTCGTAGTAAGAGATTACATTTTGACTGTTTGTCAGCATACCTACTATACGCTGATTTTAGTCGACTGAATTATTCTTTTTAACATTATATCTTATTCGGTGTCGTTTGAACAGATAGGAAATGTGATGTATCTCGTACTTTGAACCGATACAATGTGGTTTCGTACTTACAGATAAGATAGAAGCCTTACTGTTCCTGATTTTATCGATAAGACTGGCTTGAGCGACTGAAATCTCCGGTAAGTATATGCACCGTTGATACAGTATACGTAAGTTACTTCCAATGAATTTTCTCAGTGATTCACAGTAGGTACGCATCAGGGATGAAGTTGAACTTCGTGCTTGCTGTTCGTCGGAAATGAGTATATGTAGCACAGTCACAGGATTCCAGGGGTGTTCGGATAATCGGCGAGAGGAGATTGGCTTATCGCGGTTTACATTCAAATGCACACAATCAAGATTTTGGTTCGGAGTAGTTGGGTCTATTTCGATTCCGATATCATCCATCTTATCTTCGATACGAAGAGAACGTGAGACGCAACTGTACACTTCGAAGAGGAATAAGGAAAGCGGGGTACGCGACAAAACTAGAGACGCGAACAGACACGTACTCAGTACTCGGTACTCCGTATTCCGTATTCTTTCGAATCCGCCAGTCATTGTACCGGAAGCTGTGGAATCGCGACGAACGAGACAACTTGATCAAGGAAGAAAGAACGACATTTAAACAGTCGTTCCGAATCATCGACACCTGTTTGCCGCAAATACGATCGATCATTGGCTGCCGATCCACAGAGGTAAGAGACCTGCGATATATGTAACTAAAAAAAAATCCGGGTGAGGCGAGGGCGGTGTCGTTAGCACGTTGTTTTGCTGCAGCGATAACGTTGCAATCGCGATTATTTTTTCCACGGTAAACGTTAATGCTCTCGCTGATAACTAACATTGTATGTTCCTTTCTCTTATTTGTAAAAGAAACGACCCATACCTTTCGAGACGAACGAATCTTGCGATGAATATTAAATGACGATTTAAACGATCCCCTAACGATATTTGTAGCGTAATGGTATAGAGCTACTTTTTATTTCAGTTTCATAGATCGATACGAGGTTCGAGGTAATTGCTGATTAAGTGGCAACAGACGAAATATTTGTCACCGATAATGGAATCTATGGCTAGAAACATGCTTCGAAAAGTTGGCGGAATTTCCAGAGGGAAATTGTTGAATTCATTGCGACAGGTGATACCAGCATTAATCCAATGGATTCTTATTTACATCTCAGTGGTGGGAGCGATTTGACTGTTATGCGAATTCGGAACTAAATTTTAGGGCGAGCAGAACGGTCGAACGATCACGTCACAGGAGGTTTTCGAACGAGAATCCAAGTACGGTGCTCACAATTACCATCCCCTTCCAGTCGCGCTGTGCAAAGCCGAAGGAGTGTTTATGTGGGACACTGAGGGCAAACGGTACTTTGATTTTTTGAGTGCTTACTCCGCCGTTAATCAAGGCCATTGCCATCCGAGAATTTATAAGGCGTTGATCGATCAAGCGAAAGTCTTGACGCTAACATCGCGAGCCTTCTATTCCGATGTGTTAGGTGAATTCGAGGAGTACGTTACTAAACTGTTTGGGTACGTAAATTAATACTTAATTCGTTTAATCACCGTCAATTCGATGCCGAAGAAGCAATCGATAGTTCTGTGAATTTTTCGTTAGGTACGACAAATGGCTGCCGATGAACACCGGCGTGGAAGGAGGTGAAACTGCGTGCAAATTGGCGCGTAAATGGGGCTACACCAGTAAGGGAATACCGCAGTATCAAGCGAAAATCGTTTTCGCGGAAGGTAATTTTTGGGGGAGGACGATGAGCGCCGTGTCATCGAGCACGGATCCGAGCAGTTACAGCGGCTTTGGCCCGTTCATGCCTGGATTCGAGGTGATCCCGTACGACAATCTTCCCGCGCTGGAACAAGCACTGGCTGATCCCCACGTTTGCGCCTTCATGGTGGAACCCATACAGGGAGAGGCAGGCGTTGTGGTACCAAAGGTATCGTAATCTCATCTATAGGTACATCCACGTGCAAACTTGGCTTCCACCAGGGGAAAAAGTGACGTAGGAGAAGAGCCTCCTGCCACTTGGTAAATTTAATTCAAGTACTGAAATAAATGTGTAAAATGCATGTCAGTTTGGCATAAATTTCAGAAACTTCCGAAACCAAATGGTAAAAGGCCCTTTCCCTAAGTGTAATCGAATATCTCATTGATCTTGGTCGTTCGGTTTAAGGACGGATATCTGAAAGGCGTTCGAGAGCTCTGCACGAAACATAATGTTCTATGGATCGCGGACGAGGTGCAAACTGGACTGGCTAGAACGGGAAAACGATTGGCTGTCGATCACGAAAATGTAAAGCCAGATATTTTAGTCCTCGGGAAAGCACTATCCGGTGGTTTCTATCCAGTTTCCGGCGTATTGGCCAACGATCCAGTAATGTTGGCCATAAAACCCGGCGAACACGGGTCGACATACGGCGGTAATCCTCTAGGATGTCGAATCGCGTTGGAAGCGCTACGCGTGCTCGAGGAAGAGAAGTTGGCGGAGAACGCGGAGAAACTCGGTCGTATATTCAGGTCCGAGTTGAGCAAGCTTCCCAATGACATTGTAACGTTGGTCAGAGGAAAGGGACTTCTTAATGCAATCGTTATTAACGAGAAGTTCGATGCTATGGATATCTGTATGAAACTGAAAGACGCGGGCTTGCTCGCGAAACCAACGCACGGACACATCATCAGATTGGCACCGCCTTTGGTTCTCACCGAATCACAGCTACGGGAATCCGTAGACATTATTTCCAAAGTTATTATTCAGTACGCTAAATAATCGATTCAGTACCGTTTCCCGTTGCTTCGTATGTCTTCCCCTTTACGAATGATTCTGTAAATAAAAACTTACATTTTCTAGCAAATCTAAGTGTGTTACTCCATTGAAATTTCCTTGGGAATAGGGTCAACGAGAAAACACAGCTGAAATACATGTCGACGGGACGTTGTTCCGTTATCTTCCGAACACTGGTGACCAAGAAAAATTAGCCGACCGGTTGCACGTTGGTTATTAATAGCTTAATGCGATACGCTCGTATTCTATATACGTTGATCGATGTTCGTGTTTTTCCAGCATTCACTAAACATCCGACATTGTGACTGAAATATGATATCGCGTGATATTGCGTTTGAAAAGGCTTGTACGAATTCCGACATGCGCAATCGAGAATCAATCGGCTGGCGACGACGACACACGTTCGACGCGTCGAGGTCGTCCGATTTTATATGCTATCGGACAATATTAACTGTGAAAACGGCCGATAAACGATAAGAATGCAACGATCTCTCTCTATTATCGTGTAAACCATTGTTTAGTCACGATCTCTGTAATCAATCTTGTTCTCGACTTTAACGATGCTGCCGTGAAGAATTCGTCTTAAACATATCAATTCCGCGAGGACGGAACGCAGGCATATCCGATATTTTGGTATTTACTTTACAGAGTACAAATAGGCGATGCTTCACGTACGAGCTATGAAACAATGAACCAATTACCCGGGTGTTTGTAACGTTTTGTATTAGCACAGTGGTCGATGCTTTTCGTTTGTCTTACCACGTTGGCGCCGCAATAAACGACACCTTCGAACACCTCATTATCAGATACGAGTTTGTTGGTTGTGCCGCGGCATTTATTCTAAATCCTTCTGTCATATCAATCGTATACAAAAACACATTCCGTGTAAACAAGTAATACACCTCCCCTACTCTTTCACGAGCCTCTATAAATGGAAGATTGACTGGAAGATCGCGGTACATTTTATCGTGTCGGCCTACCGATATCGCCTTTTTCTTTTACCGAGTCATCTTCTTACTTTCATCGTAATTCCCTTTGGCCGTTGGTTTTTCACTGCATACTTCTGTGTCGATTGAAATGATGCAGCCGGTGAGATCGAGAATCTTCGGTTCGTCGAAGGAATTGAGCCGAAGGCGATTTCTAAGCACGCAGGAGTTGATCGACCGCGACGACAAGTACGGCGGCAGACATTTCAAGCCACTTCCGGTTGTTCTCGCGAAAGGCGACGGTGCTCATTTGTGGGATGTCGAGGGGAAACGTTACCTGGATTTCTTAGCAGGTTTTTCCACTGTTAATCAGGGTCACTGTCACCCGCGCTTGGTAAAAGTGATGAGAGAACAAGCGGGAAAGCTCGCTCACACTTCCAGAGCATTTTATTCGGAGCCTCATGGTGAATTGGGAGAATATTTGACCAAACTATTAGGATGGGACAGATTCCTGCCTATGAACACAGGTACCGTTCAAATACAAGAAAGCTCCATCCAACCCCAGATAGCACACGAGACCTAATGACGCCTTGGACCTAAAATAGCCGTAAAATGGACGTCTTCAAGGCGTCATGTGCTATCTGGGACTATTCAATTCAGTATACACGTACGTATGTATATCATGTGTTGTTAAAGACGGCTTAAAGGCGCCTTGGACCTAAAATAGCCGTAAAATGGACGTCTTCAAGACGTCATGTGCTATCTGGGACTATTCAATTCAGTATACACGTACGTATGTATATCATGTGTTGTTGCAGGCGTTGAAGCTGGCGACACCGCTATTAAAGTAGCTAGACGTTGGGGATATAGGATCAAGAGGATACCCACTAACCAAGCGACCGTAATCTTCGCGGAACGTAATTTCTGTGGACGTTCTATAGCGGCCCTGTCGGCCTCGACGGATCCAAATTGTTACACCGATTTCGGACCTTACGTGCCCCGATTCGACAAGATACCTTTCAACGATCTCAACGCATTGGAACGAAAGTTTAAGGAAGACCCGACGATCTGCGCGTTCATGGTAGAACCGATTCAAGGCGAAGCAGGTGTCGTGGTGCCCAATGTAAGTTTATTTCCTGTGAGATAGAGGTAGTTTTAGTGATTCGATTTCGCCAGATTTCAATCAAAGCACATACGCACATACAGCAGAGAGAAACAGGTTTCATTCTTGTAGGACGGTTACCTTAAAGGCGTACGCGATCTTTGCACCAAGTACAACGTTTTGTGGATCGCCGACGAGGTTCAAACTGGTCTGTGCCGAACGGGAAAACGTTTGGCCGTCGACCACGAAAATCAAAGACCGGATATTCTCATTCTAGGCAAAGCACTGTCCGGAGGGGTTTATCCTGTTTCTGGAATATTGGCGGACGAACAGGTAAATCAATTTGTTCTTTTGTTTTTCTTGTTTCTACGCGCGAAGCGACATAATACCAAGGGAAACTCGCGTCTGTCTATTCAGATAATGTTATGCCTGGAAACTGGATCGCACGGTAGCACTTTTGGCGGCAGTCCCCTCGGAAATAAAGTCGCTCTGGAGGCGGTGAAGATCTTGGAAGAAGAAAATCTAGCGGAGAACGCGAGAAAGTTAGGAGATATTGTCCGACAGGAACTAGAAAAATTACCGAAAGATATCGCGACGGAATTCCGGGGACGTGGTTTATTGACTGGTCTGGTAATCAACAAAGGTATTTATCCATCGCGTTCGTCTACTTGTATCTTTCAAGAGCGAACTAACCTGGCGTTAAAATTAACAGCTACCCTAGCAGTCGGTTATGCGAACTAATATTAATGGACGACGCAGGTATACAATTTAGTACTGTTTAGATATGCATAGTAATTGAAAGTTGAAGTAGTTATTAAAAATAAGAGTCCAGTATATTTATACCACATCATTTTACAATTTGCAATATTTTCGCCTTCGCCCAAATTTCTGGATGACGGCGTTGCATACAAATTGTATTCAAACGTACTGTCCACATTTTTACTCTAAGAAATAACTTTTAAATAAACTTTCATGTTACTGGTTCCATATAAACATATAGTAAAATGTATACCTGCATCGTCCATATTTGTTACGCAAGGTGAGCGCCACCATTCCGGCAGTGATAGTTTTCTTTGCCAATAATATCACGATTCTATCGTTTTAGATCTCGCAGAGGGCTGGGATATTTGTTTAAAGCTAAAAGAGGCAGGTTTGCTGACTAGACCCGCTCACGGACAAATATTAAGGATATCCCCACCGCTTGTCATCACGGAAGAACAACTGCGTGAAGGATTAAATATACTGACCACTGTACTCAGAAGTTACAAGTGAAGAACACTTGTTTGTCCACCGTGTTCTGACGCTAGGAACAGCGAACTTTCATGCTTGCGTAACAATAGTTTATTGGTAATCTGTAAAGCTAACGATAAACAACACGGACGATTATGTATGTACGATGTAGCTTTTTATGATAAATACAAAAGTTGTACACTTCTATACTACGAGTGTGACTCGTGCCTCTTTAAATGCCTCGTCAGACTGAACGCTTGGGAAAACAGCTGATTGCAACGTTGACATTTGTACGCTTTAGCTCCGCTGTGCGAGCTCAAGTGTCTTTTTAAATGATTTATCAATTTGAATCGTTTGCCACATAATCGACACTGATGTTGCCGCAGAGAAACATGCGAAGCTTCGTGACTTTTCAAATGACTCGATTGGGAGAAGCGTTTCCCGCATGTTTTACACTCAAAGGGTTTCACTTTCGTATGAATCCTCAGGTGCTCGACAAGATTACCTTTCTGAACGAACCACTTGCCGCAATATTCACATTCGTGCGATCTAATCGCCTTGTGTGTACGCAAATGGATCTTCAGATTGTAACTTTGACTGAACCTTTTGTCGCAGATCTCGCACTGTACCAAACCTTTACCAGTGTGGAGTTTTTCATGGGTTCTTAGATTTTTTAACAAACGAAATTGTTTTTTACACGTAACGCACTCGAAAGGTTTGTTTTGTTCGTCTGGTCGCTTAGTCCTGCTGATGGAAGACTGCTCGTGAGTTTTTGAGTGCTCTCGTAAATAGGAAGGGTACGCAAATATTTTACCGCATACTTTACATTTGTGCACGTTCGTTTCAGTGTGCAACCGCATATGAGCATTCAATTTACTCTTCGACGAGTACGCTTTTTCGCAGTTCTGGCACTTAAAAGGCTGTTGACCAGAATGCGACAACTGGTGAGTCAATAATTTCGATCTTTGAGAAAATAATTTCGGGCATAATTCACATTTGTATTTCTTAGTTTCCATGTTTATCGACTCTTCTTCTTCTTCTTCTTCTTCTTCTTCTTCTTCTTCTTCTTCTTCTTCTTCTTCTTCTTCATCCTCTTCTTCATCTTCGTCCTCCTCTTCAGTTTCATGCTTGTAATCCAAATTCATAGTACACATCTGATATCCACCGATGTTTTCTTTATTGTCGGTATGCTCGAGATCTTTTGTATACCTCAACGCACAAGCATCTAGCATATCGTTTCCAGGGTCCATTGGTGAACTTTGAACGCGTTCCGAGCTGCTGCCATTAGATCCCTGAATCTCCTCTAGTTCCATATTTCCAGGGAAGTTCACATTTTGTATCTCGTTGTTCCCGTTCGTTGTAGACTTCTGATACGATAAATTCTGAATAGTATTCTCGACGGAATTAATAGATCTATCGTAGCTTAAATTCTGAGGAATCTGATTGGAGTTTTCGCAGATATCTATGTTTTCGTTGTCACCAGACATGTCCACGTTTTTTGTGCTATGAGCGATATTATGACTCATCAATTGCATCCTGTTCGTAAACGTATGGTTACACAAGGAACAATGTAAAGCACAAGCTGCCCGGCTTGGATTTTCACTGTTCATTGGGATCATTTGCATCATGTTCGATCTAATCAAAGGCGAAAATTGCATGTTCTGAACGCCTTCGCCAGTCAAGTTTGAGCTTAAATGACCGAAATTAAAGTTAAGGTAGTGATTTTGGGATTCCACAATACGCATACGCTGTACAGGAATATTGTCCTGAATATATGGCAAATGGGATCTGCTATGAGCATACAGTTCTTGATAATTTGCACACGCAAAGTTACATTCTATGCACTTTAGTGATTTGTAGGAACTCTGAACCTGTTGGAAACTTTGATTCTGCTGATACAATTTACATCCAGCAACTGTACCACACGTGGCTAAACCAGACACCTATGTAAACAATTTAACGCGAATGACTTCAACCATTGTTTGCACAAGATTTAATCGTACGACCTGAAATGCCAAGATTACCTTCAAAGCAGCCTGTCTCAAGGCTCTGTCAGCGGCGCGACATTGTTCCCTGTACAACAGAGCAGATTCAGCTCTGGTAACACAACGGTCGCACATTTTCTCTGGGAGACCATCGCCTTGCCAGACCTAAGGAAGTAAGCATTGCGAGCCTATCAAAATGAATGCATTAACTGTACAGCCGTCAATACGATAAATTTGTTTATTACTTCTAAGCACGAAAGAGACCGCAACTTCGCAGCGAGAGACGAACTAGCTGGTCCCAAAAACAAACAAATCATTTTATCGCCATCCTCTCTTAAACATGTACGACACAATTTACTGATATTCTCGCCGTCGATTTCTTTCGTAACGATAAACATTGCAATGTTTTGACAATCAACTTGATAGATTCACTTGTACTTCTACAGTTCTAAGGTTATAGTATTTATGTTGTGACTTTTTTAGCAGCGCCATCTGCTAGGAATTCTTTCTTGTGTTCCGATATTCAACGGCACATAGGTAAGTGTTCAGGAGAAATACATACAGAAAAGTCACGTAAATCATATGTAAATTGCTACAGACAAGGTGTAAGAATAGACTTAATAATCAATGCAGTTTTGTGTCCGATTTTCTGAGTTCTTAACACTCCGTTGATATATTTCAAGGCATGGTAAATTACGCAGCAGCTTCTATCCATACAATAAAATCGAACTTTCAACCGAAACTGTGTATATAAATGCAAATACGACAGCTCCATAAAGATAAACTCGTAAAATTGTTAATAATAAAACAATTTAGCGACCGAAATACAGTAAATTACGAGTATTTCAAATTTGCTACAAGTATGGTCGTTTAAATTTCCGTAGCTAAGGAAAGGACGCCATATTGAATGTTTCAACTACGCATATGAATTCAAAACCTCTCTCGAAACAATTCTCGTTTGACCTTAGTAACACAAGTTACGAAATCACTATCATCCTTACAAGCAGAAACAGTAAAAGCACAATAAAATAAAAATACATAATGAAATATCACCTACTTGTTGCAGTAAGTTACCAGAGTTCACCAATTTCCCGGCAAATTGCGTCTAAAGGAAGTTAACTGTCATGGAGTCGGAAGCGCGTCCTTTGCAACAGGTACTGTGAAACAGAAAATACACGTTTATTCCAAGCAATTACATTAAGTTAACGATGGTTCCGTCACAAATAAATAATTAATGAACTCAAAGTGTGTCGCAAAAGATTGTATGTGAATTGAATAAGAAATGCGGAAATTCTAATTGGTACGAAATAAATAACAGAAATCGCGAAGACCGGTTCAACTTGTTCTGTAATATTAAATTAATTTACGGCTATTTACACTAAATTGAATAAATATTAAAACGAAAGTAACGATATGGTGCCAACATAAATTAATAGGATAAACGTACATGATTGGAAGTAAAAAGTCGAGGTCACGTACTTCAACACGACAGAGCTCACTTCACGTCTTATCACACCGGTGTTCACAAAACAAATGACTCTTTGGTTATCACCAGTAGATCATGGTCGGTCAGTGCGTAAGGGTAGATCCCTTTCCCACTCCAATTTCTTTTTCAACGAAATAGAATACATATTCACCAGGAGTTTTATTTCTGTATCACATTTTTAATATGCGTACCCGAGATTAGATCAATGAGAAATCACCATCGTAATACAAGGGAGTATTTAAAATATAAACGAATAACATAAATGAACAGAATACTGCTAAATTATATTTCATCACGCCACCACTATTTTTCGCCTGGTGGCGCCACGTGTGGCGAAACGTTCAAACTGATAGCCAAACAATACTGACAGGTGAGTGCACATTCCATGAGTTGGCGCCACATTATTCTCTTCATTGTTTCCTGTGCATAATTAGTTGTTTTATAAAATATTTGTTTATCACGCTATTGTTGCCGAGTGTAAAACTTGTACATCTGTCTTGCAAGATAATGATGTCGATAATAGCGACTCGCGATAGGTTGGTAAATCCTTACGAAAACGTAGTACATACATAGATCGATGTAGGTGGCAAGTTTGTACAGAAACTGACTGATTAAATCTGTAGCAGGGAAACATGAAGCCCCAACGGTATTACATAGTTGTGTATTAACTGATCGGAAAAAGAGGTAGCTGTGCAAAACGACTCTTACATTTAATTTTCGTGTTTCTTCCATTTGAATTTGTGCCTAACGGGATCTATCAATTCCGAAACGTTCGTCCAAATATCGCTTATTTCAACCGAAATGTTTCTGCTTCAATAAACTGGTACACATATGTACATTTTAGAACTTTTTTCCTCGTGATAGTCGGAGATATCGAGAGACAGAACGTAAGTTTAAAAAAAGCACCGAAAACAAAGCCTAATTACAGATCGTAATCAGAGATTCCAGGGGTTCGTGGACTGTCCTCTCTTTTCAGTTACTTGCGAACGTTAGTTGTTTTTTCGAACGTGTTCGTCTATGTTCGATGCCGGAAAACTGGTTGCTAGTTACTGACTCATCGTTGTATGTATACAGGTAACTCGTGGAAAATAGCTTTTAGAGGAACGGAGAGGCTGCCAATGGTCCCTATCCTTTGGGAATACAACCGATAATGGGCTTGCGGGTCGATACACTCGATGTGTCCAGCATTCGCTGTTTAGGCGGAAAACGATCAAAATTGCTGATAAACCAAGTCGTTCCTTTACGCGGTCATTCGCGACCGATTACGCTTCCGAGGAAAATCAAACGAACGTTGTGACTTTCATCATATAGATGAAGTTTTTCTCGGATTTTTTTGTTTACACTCACTATCGCATGTTGTCCGTTGCCACATCGCGGTCTTAATGGGTGACTGAAAATTGTTCCGAGACCGTTATCGCCTGTAACAGGTACGTGACTAAATTGTATTTTCACGAAATCAATTGTAATTTGAATTTTAAGAAAACTTCTCAAAGAATCTTTGGTTCGTAGGCACGATCGTCAACCGAGACTAATTCACGAAAAAGATTGGGCCATTTGGACCGAGCGTCGTAACTAAAGAACGAGGTATTCTTTCGTGGTTTACACATTATTGTTTGTGCTATGAAAGGTGTGTGCTCGTTATCTTCCTAAATTATTTCCTTCGGTTCGGAATAGGTTTCTGGATGTAACGTACTCAACAAGATTTCATGCCGAGGAACTCGAAGAAAAATTATAACATTGCGAAACAATCAAACTGGTAGAGTCGAGTAAATGATTCATGCAACGCGATATTCTCGCGCTCATCTGAGCAGTTGGTGACGCGTTGGTTGCATTCTTCGATCAGAACATTTCACGATGAAGACGGTGGAAAAAAAAAGAAATCCTTGTTCCGTGACACATTCGCTCTTGGAGGAATAATTTTGGTTCCCCGAGCTGTCGCCGCTTCGTCGACCAACTTCCACGTGATCGAGAAACCGCGATGCCTTCGAACTCTCAGACTTTGAGTTACGACCGAAAAATAGTTTGAAACTATGCTCGCTAATTCCTTTGTGTAAGCAGGCCCGGATTAAGATTTTTTGTGACCCAGAGCTATCACATTTTCGGGAGTCCCCTTGGTTGAAAAGGAAAGGGGAGCACAACAAAATACGTAAATCTTTAAAAATTGAAATTTATTTTAAATGAAATTAAATAACATTTAATCATAACGAAATGGAAGATACAGAACAGGGCCCCCCTGGACCGTGGGGCCCGGAACTACAGCCACCCTAGACCCCCTCTTGATCCGGCGCTGTTTGTTGGTACTTTGAAATCGTCGTATCTCCTGGTTCAAGTTCAATCTTTTACAATTGAAACCGTTGTCACAGAATTCACGCGTGAATTGAAAAAACTGCGTTCGAAATGATGACCCCGCGAGGAATGTTCAGGGTGAACGTTTTTTCCCATCTATCACGCGCGACTTTGTAAAAAAAGGAATCAAGGGATGCGGACGGACGGAGAACGGTGGGCAATCAACGAGGGAAGCACTAATTTACGAAGAAATTACGTATTAGAATTACGGTAATTTCTTGAACGTAAACGTGCACCGAGTACGACACCGAACGATCTCGGTCTGCTAGTAATTATCGCTCCATCCTTTGAAAAATATTTACCTTTTCTTTGACGGCGGTAACGACGAATCGCATACTTCACGGACAAAGTTGTGTGCAGTATTTGTTGGTCTGCACGAGGGTATTTGTAAATTGGACAAGATCATAGAATCCATTACACGTGACGTCATTTCTCTCTATACGAAGACATATACAATTTTGCATTGTATAGATGGATTTCATATTCATCGTATGCAAGTAGAAGATATTTACCGTAAAAACTAGCAGTGAAACGATTGCTTGAAATCCACTCGAAATTCTGTACAAAAGAGAACGGTGTTGAATGTGACGAACGTATCTCGAGAGAAAGGAAAATAACGGGGCGCGATGAATCGAGTCTCCGCTCCTGGAAGAAGATCAACAAGTAGTTAGTGGTGGGGAAAGGTCTGTTTGTATGCTGGCGACGGGATTGGCAGTGCGGGGATCAGCGGTGTAGAGGAGGCAACGGTGGTAGGTCCGCACGTAAAACGGCGGGTTGGGGGAGGGGAGCTGCAGGCGCGAGAGAAAGAGCGAGGAAGAGAGTGGGGAAAGAGAGTAAGCTGGTGGTGGTAGGCAGACAGAGCGAGGAAGCGGACACAGAGTGGCAGAGTACCCGCGACGGATAAATTGCGCGTCCTCGTCAGTTCAGTTGGGAAAGCGCGTTTGTGCGGTGTCAGTATTCGGGATATACGGTTCGCGCGTGTTGTGTTTGGATTCGGCGTCTAGTCGTCGGCCTCGTCGCGCAAGGTGCGCGAGTGTGTGACGTGTGTTTTTGTTCCTTTCGAAGGAGAGAAAGAGAACTCGAGAAATCACGAGAGCCATGTGCGCTGGCGGCGTACTTTAACAACTGTTGAAACATCGGGTCACGACCAAGGGGGAATAGAATTCGTCATCTGTGGATCGGTGAACAAGGTGGGAAAAGGTGACGGCAGCGTGGACGCTACGGCCGGAAATCGTATCCAGCCGTAAAGGCGAGAAAAAGGAAAGGAACGGTGGAGATGTCGCGTGGTGAAGCTGATGTACGCTTTGTACGGGCCTGGGCGAGGCCCCGTATTTTATTATTGTTTCTGCTGCTCTGTGGAACTCTCGGTGAGTGGAATACGTATTTTCCGAGGTTACTACGCGATGTCCTGTGTATATGTTTTTCTTCGTATAAAAGCATCGCGTGTGTGTGAGAACGCGATGCATGAATTTACGTTTATCCCCTGACGCGCATGCGTAGTCGTTAGCCAGTGCGTCGTTGAGGCCATGCACGGGACGGTGGTGGGGCGAAGCTGGGCCCCTAGGCCCCGTTCGCGACATTGGTGCGGCTCTGTTGGACGCTCTGGAAAACGCCTTTCCCGTGCGACTTGTGTTCGAATTATTGTAGAAATCGTACATAATGTTCGTATTTATCTCGAGGCATTTTACAAACGATGACATTTCAATCAAACTCGTACCGTTGGCCGAGAAACTGCTCGAGAATACGATACGATGTCATTGACTCGAGTTGAACGACGGAACCGCGACATCTTCTTTCCACTTTCGTAATCGAAAACCAGTAACCGGCTCTGTTTTTCTTGGCAAAAGATATCTGATAGCCAGGTATCCGTGTCGACCGAAACGAGACGTGTATATACCTCGAGAGAAAACCGGTGGTGACTTAGTGAGCTGTATCGTTGCTCGTGGGAATCGTTGAATGTAAGATTGACTCCCGCATTCGCGCGTTACTCTATTTCTTTTTAGGGTCGCAACACCTTTGTCCCTTATAAACCGGTGGGAACGGGGATCGTTGTGCGAAAAATGCGGGGAAGCGAATACAATACGAAAGCACGGTTTCCTGCGTTATCACACTTAGCTGCAGCGTAAATACTGCCTCGAGTTTTCTGAATGAGACAATGACAGCTACGAAAATACGTTCCCCGATTATCGCATCGTTTTCGTTGTTATTACGATCGGTTCAACAGCCTACTGAAGGAACGTGTTAGTTTTATTAGCGTTAATGGACCGAAGATTCGTTCGGGTATAGCTCTATCGAGTCAATCAGGGTCGTGTTCCATTTCGTGGAGTTGGCCGCATAAGGATTCGGCTCGAGGGGATTCGAGAGGCCGTCGAGGAACCTTACTCGGCGTAATCTTAAACCACTGGCAGCCGATTTCAAAGTGCTCTCTCGGTACATTCCACGGATTTTTCTTCCCTCCCCCTCTCTTCTCCGCCCTCATCGGTCTTCGTCAGTGTCTCACTTCCCTTCCCTCATCTTGTTCATCTCTTTTCTCACAGCCGTCTCTCGGCTGTTCCTGCTCTTTTCCTTCCCACGAAAGAATGCAGCTTTAGCTGCAACAACGGGCAGGCAGGCAAGGCAAGCAAGCACAGCGGTGGCGTCGTGCGCGCGATGCACTATGGCTTCCCCTTTCTTAGTCGCTTTGGTTGTTTTATCCCTGGCCGCTCGAGATTCTCAAAGACGTGGGATCGTGAACGGACGTAAACAAGCCGATTTGGATTATGCAAAACGTTGAACAGCAAAGGACGATTCGAGAATTCTGTCGACCCAACGTTCTACACGCTTTGCGAAGGTGGAACATGCAGACCCGATCTGATTTTTCAATACTATTTCCAATGAACCGTCTGAAGAGCTGATCGATACCGAGTAACGTAGAATTTATCCTGGACCGGAATGTCAATCCACGACGAATCCCTTTTCGTCGGGATTCGGTCGCAGTATATCGGGAAGAATAGATTTCGTGCGAGGACGAAAAGGAAAACTAAAGAAAATAAACGGGGAGCAGCAACGCGATCGGCCAAAGAAAAGACCGGTCGCGTCTTGGCACCGGGAACAATAAAGACGCCGAGGGAGTAACCGTCGGGGGGTAGAAGGGAAGCGAAGGAAGACGCGGGGACGGTTAGAAGGAAGGAGAGAAGTCGAGAGGACAAAGAACGTGTACGGCTGGGGTCGCAGCGTGGCGAGGCGACTGTTCGTCGTCGTAGGTGCAGATTGTATAGGAACAGTGTCTTTCTGTTCACGGGGCCCTGACCTAACCATCCTTCGCGGAACGTTTCAACCAGTTTACGTAGTCTTCGATCAGTACGGACGCGAAAATAAACTACATATCGCGAAAGTGGCGAACGCATTTTACGCGTTGTTCGACGTAGACAGGAACAGTTTGTTCTCTCGTTGATTGACGGGTCAAACGAGTATGTACACACGCGAGCAAACTCAGGGGAAAAAGTGGCGTAGGTAAAGAGCCTCCTACCACTTGGAATCAGGAATTATTGAAATTTATGCGAAATTAACATTCGATTCAACATTTATTTCATTACCTGGAATAAATTTACCAAGTGGTAGAAGACTTCTCTTCTACGCCGCTTTTTTCCTCTAGTGGAAGCCGAGTTTGCTCCTAAGTGTACATAGTAAAAATAGACTCGATGTTGCGTGACGTCGACCGTCACGAGGTTGAGAGACGCTGAAGCGGACCGCGGGCCTTAGACCCATAGAACCGCAGGCTCGCCCCAAGCGAACGGTTAGGCCCCGCACTGTATCGTTTTTTCCTCGAACGCAAGACTCCGGATCGCATCGCTCGTAAACTTTACGTAATCTGCCGCGATAAGTTCGTATCGATATCGTCTTTGCGATAAAATTGAAAAGGTACACGTTCCTGGACTATATTGCTTCGTCTTATCGTCGTTCCCAACTGAATTCAATGGAAAATTGAATCGAATCGCGAACCACCGAGTGGCTCGCGGCGCGTTTTCCCTCAACGATCGGTCACATTGGGCTATCGGATGCAAAAGGTGCGCGAAACAGGCAAAAAAATTCTGCAATTCTTGGTCTTGTAATATGTTTGCTTGCTCATGAATAGACGTAATCATTTAATACTACAATACACCGTTCACGTTTCTTCGGGGATTATCTTTTCACGTAGTTTCGAATGAGCGGTCGTGTCGACGCGACGAAACCCGCGTGTATCTTAAATCGGGCGAAATTGTCTCGAGTTGGGCGTGTCGTGTTTTAAGTCTACGTCAAACGGAAGACGGTGACACAGGAAAGAGAGTGGGATTCAGGAATGATTCATTCGTTACCGTGTGTAATACGTAATCGGCGCGTCCCGCGGAATCATTGAGAATGACGGAAGATTTTGTTCCTGGTATTTTAATCAGCCAACAGCTAGGGCGAGGTCACGGATTTGGCTCCAATCCGGTATACAGGATGTTTGCGGTAAATTGGACCAGCATTTTTACCATGAATAGTAAGTATTTCAAAAATATGGAAGAGGTAGAACTTACAGTGTAACTTACTGGCAACACGGAGAACCTATGTCATATAAGTGAATTCATTTTGACTCACGCTTTTATATGGCATTAAAAAAACATATAACTTTCCAGTTAAAAAAACTGAAGGTCACCATTGTATCTCGAAAATTAATCTAAATATAACAAAATTGGCATAGATTATCGTGTTGCCAATAAGATATACTACTGTAAGTTTATTATTTTTTGAAATACTTTCTGTTTACGAGAAAAACGCTGGTCCAATTTACCCCGAACACCCTGTATATTTCGCGCACGATACTGAAAATAGGAGAGAAGACAAAAAACAAAAAAGAGATGGAAAGAAAGTACATCTACCTTTACCCGTGTACGGGGTACGTTAAAAGTATTCCGAGGACATTGCTCCGGTGACGATAACAATTCCCGTTGTTCGTGCAATCGCGTCGTTCCGAATCCGTTTGCAATTGGTTAGATATAGGCACAAGGGAGTTTAGAATGTTACAGGGGTAGGCCTTCGGTCGGAAACGACCGCTTGAAAGCGTCACCGATGTCCAATCGCGACGCGAAATACATTTGCATTTGGAAATCCGAATGGTCCGGGGTCGACTGTCAGCCGTTTACGATCCACACGACTCGTGACACACGCAGGCAACCGAAGTGATTCGCGTGTAGAATTTCATGGTTTTATCGTTAGCAGGTTGCCACATCCCCGAGCCCCGTTCGTTGGCTGGAAAGAAGTGATAGCGATCCCTCGATAAATGCAACACGAGCAATCGCGTTACTCCCACCACTGGAATAGTCACCCTTTGGAACCAATCAAAACAGAGTAACCAGAAGCGAACTAGAGGCTCGGTTTCGGGCTAAAAAAAGGCACAAATTTATAAGGTCCTGGAAACCTTTCTGCCTTGCCATGAATGCTCCCAAGCGGACTCTAGTATGTCGCACTCATCGAAGTATTACGATATTAAGTTTTCCACGCGATATTTTCCTCGGTCGTTCTACTTCGACAGCTACAGAATGCATACGTCCAGACAGCGGAATCATATTTCTTCGTGGTTGTTGGGAAAAGATAAACGACACGTGGTTGGCATGCAGCACAGGGTATAACTGATTTTAATTAGAGTACAGGCTAGTCGAGAAAATACATTTCCCTGGACAGTTGATGGTTCCGGGAGATATACATACAACTGGAAACGATACAGTCATGAAGTATGCACAAAGTAAATTTTAGCTCTCCGCGGAGAGTCGAAGGGTAGTTCTATCGGGTTGTTTCGCCGCGGAATTAATTCGCGAAGAGTTTGAGCCCGCGGATTATACGCGTAACATGTACTATATTTCGGTTATGGATGAGTCCGTATAAAGCTGCGAACCTTGTATTTAATTTCCTATGCGCGATTCGGGTACTCGATCCTCGTATTTCATCCGAACATTCGAGCCCTTTCGCGAAAGATAGCCCGGAGACTCGGCGATTGCTTTTCACTATTGAACCGCCGCACGGTGGGCTGGAACCCCGAAAAAGTGACCCAAAGTCAGGATTTCATCGGATCCTTACGAAACTTGGTAATAGAGGATTTTTGGAGCCGTTGGTAACGAATCTGACACCAACAATTCAAATTTCAAGATTGACGGATTGAAAACAGTGGTCTGGGAATTAATTAATTTCTAAATTTTCCAAAGTTTTTCACGTTTATCCACCGATCGAAATATGCATATATCATCGGTAGTTCTAGTGTTAAACTTGAAAAATTGATTTGGTCATTTTTTTGGGTTTCCAGCCCACTGTGTGCCGATCCCCTGAGTCATGCACCGTGTAATGGGGGCACGATCATCGTCGAATGCAGTCG